ACCTACGGTAGCGGGAATGATAAAATCTGCATAGCCTGATGGTTTTAACTTGTAAGTTTATTGTATCAGTCTGTGAGATTGAAATTGCTGGGTTATTGTAAAAAAAAATGTGGTGAGTAATCGAAGCTGTCTGTCCAATTGGGGTCACACGAACCCATTGAAGCCCCTTCCGTGCCCTCCCCCTAACAGTTTCCATGGTCAATACTACTGGCATTGCATTGAAAATGTGATGGACAACTTGAATTCATGGAAACTACTCTATTCACGTCATCAATATCCCTGGTATGGTACAATAATATGTGCATAACAAACTGTATTTTATGGATTGAAAGCATAGCCGCCATTGCCTTTCTCGCTCAATAACAGTTGCGGTGTGGCGATTCCCCAGGCTCAGGTGGCGTGGCATCCCCTCACGTGCCCAGACATTCGCCGAACACGTTCGCGAACGCGTTCGGCGGGCGAACCTCCCAGTCGCCTGGACGTTCTCGAAATCATACAGTATATAGGGGACCCAAGTTTTCCCCGGTTCTCTTTCAGTCAAGCTCCATCTAGAATGTCCTGTGCTGTTGTAGTCTAAGAGATACTTATCCCCTCTCCAAAAATGTCTAATGGTGTGTATCTGACGCCTGGACATCTGGCATCCATCTCACATCATAGTTTTATCTTACAGTCTGTTGGGCCTCATGATCATAAGCCATGGAATAACATGGAAATTCTTGATTCTACTTATTTGTAAATTGTCATGGACTTATGTACGGCATGGAGACCCAGAAAACTAGAATGATTGAATACACATGTTAGATGGAGTGCACATACACTCAAATCCTTCTCAAGCCAACACCCAAAAGTTTTGAGGTACAAGGATCTATGTTTGATACTATGCTCTCCCTATGCCTCTAAGTTTTACCTCCAAATAGCCCTTCACCTGTACCTTGTGGCATCCACAAACTAACACTAATTACATAGTTGAGAGGGACTTGAGTGTGAATATTGAGATGCATGCCCGACCATGGCTAAGTCCTTGTTCAGTAGTGGCGCCATTAGAGCCAAACATAGCACGCCGGAGTTTGCCGGTGCGACGTGCGACGCAATTCAAGGGTGCCAGAACCCCTCCCAAAGGAGGGGCATTTTCGGTTCAATGCAGTGAGATGCTGGTAAAAAAAAATGGTCAAAATAATAGTAAAAGGCTCTGAAATGGGCATACATATGCGTCTGATAGGCCTAAAAACAGCTCAAACTATGGGTTTTGACCGCCCAAAAGGGTATGGGTTATGGGTTATGGGAGAGTTATGGGTTTTTAGTGGTTATTTACCAACTCGGTGGAAGCCAAAAACTATGGATTAGAGGGGATTATTGGTTATGGGAGCTATGTGTTAAGTGAGATTCGACTGTACGTTGTAAGAACCCGAGCAAAGAACTACGCGCGGCTGTGGCACTCAGGCAGTGGCAAAGACGCGTCGACGCGCTCACGTGACGTCACGCTGTGAGTTGTCCGGACCGGTAAGTACTCGTCGGCCTTCGTGTTCGCGAACGTTTGGCGAGCCAGAAGCTATTGCCCGCCAGCATCTGTCCAGGAATCTGTTTAATAATATTTCTGGTGGAACCCAGGATCTGGTGAGAGGGTAAGCCCGTCGAGTTCTCTAGTTTGCGCGTGCGTTACATGTACGCTGTGTTGTAGCCATGCACCGGATGTTCGATGTGCCCGAGCTCTTGCAGTTCGTCATAGAATGTCTAGTGGAACCCGGATATCAGCACCCTTGTATATTTGTATGCAAGTATTGGGCGGAGATTGTGCTCGACATCCTTTGGGAGGAAGTCGAAGACCTAGAACCGTTATTCCGCATTATGGGACCCCTTACAGAGGGGTCCAACAACGGTGTAGGTACTCCTATCTCGGGGTGCCTGAAAATCCGTTAAAATAGTATATCTACCTCCACAGACTCTTCAATACCTCCCTGGGCCCGACGATTGGGAGCGGTTCCGCTATTACACGTCCAGGATACGCTCCGTCATCTACTATCCGAAATTCAGACAAAATAGATATGCTCGCAAGCTATTTCCAATGCTTGCAATGACGAATGATCAAGGGGCGCTCTTCCCCAACCTCCGTCGCCTGGAATGGGCTGCGGAAGACCTGGAGACACTTGCGACCTTGACGTATTTCATGCATGACAAAGTCGAATCTCTGCTGATCACCTTCTCTGATGATCTGGCTGCGGACCCTGCGCACTCTCTGTCATCCTTTGTCTTCCACACTATCAAAAGAGCGCCATATCTAGGATACCTGGATATATCGGGGGACGAGTGGATTGGACCGCAGATCCTTCATCTCCTTCGTGGTCTAAAGAAACTCGAAGAGGTCACCATCCCTTGCTTCTGCGCCACATCTGAGGTGCTACAGGAGCTATCATCCAGGGTGATGCTCAAAACTATTACATTTTCGGGTGATGGCGACATGGATATGCGCCTCTATCCCAACCTCACAGCCGCCGCTTTCCCCAGCCTCGAGACCCTGATTTTGAGATTACACATGTCAGACCTCATCCATATGTTCAAGTCAGATGTCCACTTCGAGCGACTCACGATGCTCTGCCTGAATGAGGCTGCATACTCGAGGACAGGCATCATCCAGGATCTCCTGGGACTCATCGCGACAAAATGCCCTGTTCTTAAAACCCTCTATCTCGACACAGACTACCAAGCCCCGGAAAATCAGGCAGACGAAGCTATCCCAGTGTCTCTCGATGACCTCAAACCTTTGATGCAGTGTAGACTGCTGGAAAGTTTTACATTACGCCACGACCGTGCGTTGGGTCTCACAGACGGCGATGTGGAAGTGTTGGCAAGAGCCTTGCCTGGATTGATTCGTATAAACTTGAACGCGGACCCGCCGGAAGAGCAACGGCCAGCAATGACTTTGCAGTCATTGGTGACCTTTGTGAGCCATTGCCCGAGACTTGGAGAACTCGGACTGTATATGGACGGAACTTCTGCTGGCGACGTGGTCATCCCGGAACATGGCCTGCCGTTCTATCATCTGGAAGGAATATCCGTCGGGGCATCACATATCTCCGATCCTCCACAGGTAGCTGCATTGTTGGCTCGAATCATCCATCCTGGATGCGTATTGAGAAAAAGCTGGCAATCTACCACGACTAGACGTCCGATGCTCGACAAATGGGCAGAAGTCCGTAACCTGCTGCCCACGATGTTGCGATTGGTTCATGACGTGAGGAGCGAGAGATAGATGTCCTCTCTCCGCGCCTTGACCGAAGGGCCGCGGGAGTGCATTATGCAATACGTTTCCGGTCCACTTCTACCGCGGAAGGGTGTCCGATCTGTATTGTTGGTTGTCCTGGACTTGTCGCTGCATTCTTGGGTCGGATCAACCATAGTACAGGATGCGCAATAAAGACAAGCCCAAGATTCGGCGGGCTGTTTGGGCGTCCGAGTCAATTGCGTGATACGTGGAAAGATGTCCCAAAGCTGTTGCCCTCGATATTGCAGTCAGAAGATTCGAGGAGCAAGTAGTACATCATGAGATGGTCTTCCGAGCCTTGTTCAAGGGGAATGAGTGCATCGGGCAACGTGCCTTCCGAGTAATGTTTGCCATAGGCGTGCCTGATCCTGAACTGTAATATTGTCATCGTCCGCTTCATGTTCTTGCTTAATGCTTATCAATTTGCTCTGGACGCAGCGTTCTCACGAAATAGAGTATGCCGAATGTTGTTCAAGACGAAGCGTGGATACTTCGAAGTGTACGATCCGCGGACTCGCATCTTGAAAGAATATCAACAGATCACAGACCATTCCAGAGTTACGTCCCAATTGTAAGAGCTCCCGACTTTGGAGCAGATGCAGCCGTTTCCTTGCACGTTCCTCCGAGTTTGACCAGTTGCGATTGCTGTTTGCTCCTCGTGTCGGCGATATCCCTCGTTATCGTCCAATGCCTATCAAGATATATCTGTCCCCATCGTAGCTCGGCTTCGTTATGGGACTTGTCATGCCGGTTTTCCGTAGAAGCCTTCAGCAGAGGCAAATTGTTATAAAACGGGCCCCGCCCTATCCCTTCACCAGGTCCTCCCATCTGAAGACCGCTCTGTCACTCAGGACTTCAGCTTTCGCACTACCATGTCGACTGACAAGATTACGTTCCTCTTGAATTGGCATGCAACGCCGTACCATGCGCCCATCTTCCTCGCTCAGTCGAAGGGTTACTTCGCCGAAGAAGGTATCAAAGTCGCTATAATCGGTGAGCTCATTCATTCGTTCCAGATGAGCCACGAGATTCTAAATGCCGTGCTTCTGGATTTCGCAGAACCGAACGACCCTTCCGACGTGACCGAAATCATCGGCTCAGGAAAGATCGACATGGGCGCCAAAGCCATGATCCACACGTATGATTCGCATTGAGACTGAACTAATCGCAAGACCTTCTAAGCAGTGTCTAGTATCGCCGGCGCCGCTCGTGGCTTCCCCATCCGCTCCGTAGGAACTTTGATGGACGTACGTCTTGTCCTCTCTTGCGCAGTCATCCATCACAGGAACCCGCTGACCGTCCTCGCTGCATAGGAGGTTTGTCTTGCGTAGACCCAGCAGCTCGCTTTCCGGGGGACGCTGTGACATGAACATGCTTTCCACCGTGCTCCGGTAATGTACGCCTTAGCATGGTAGTGCACACGGGTGTCTGCGTCCCTGTCAAGGGCCAGGCTGAGAGCCATACCGTCATCATCGGATCATGTTCATGCATGCGTCGAGAGTGGCACTGCCTGGGTTAATTTTCGTCTGGGGAGTACTGACCTGATTGACAGCCTTTCACCGGAGTCATATACCTTGAGGGATCGGGCGTGACCTCCGACTTCCGTAGCCTCAAGGGCAAGCGCATCGGATACGTTGGTGAATTCGGAAAGGTCCAGGTGTGTTTCGCCACACCTGAAACGAGCCATTGTAGAGAGCAACTTATTCTGCGTCAGATCGACGAGCTCACTAGGTATTATGGTATGAAACCGAGCGACTACCAGGCTATCCGAGTCGGCATGAATGTGTCCCAAGCCATCATCAACGGGAGCATTGATGCTGGGATAGGCTTAGAGAACGTTCAGCAATGCGAGCTCGAGGAGTGGCTGAAGGAACGGGGCGTAAGTGAAGCCCGGAAATATGTATTCCATCGTACTCACCTTTAGGGTAGCGCCCTCCTAGCGATGTAAAGATGCTGCGAATCGATCAGCTGGCCGAACTGGGTTGCTGCTGCTTCTGTTCCATCCGTACGTCTTGCACTGTCGCTCCTGTGAGCCCATTGGCCTGATGCCGATGCGGATGTATAAGTATACATCGCCAATGAGCCCTTCCTCAAGGCAAACCCAGAGAAAGTCAAGGCGTTCATGCGTGCAGTGAAAAAGGCTGCCGACTACCTCTTCGCCCAGCCAGCCCAAGCCTGGGAGGAGTACAAGTTGTTCAAGAAGTCGATGAACACGCCGCTGAATGCGAAGATTTTCGAGCGTAGCTTCACCTACATGTCAATGGATTGTGCCAACGTGCCTCGCGTAAGTCCAGCACGTCAGAACTATCTCGACCTGAACTAAAATATCGTGATGGCAGGACTGGCATAAGGTCACCAATTATTGTAAGCGCCTCGGTGTGGTTGGGCAAGAGTTTGAGCCGAACTACTCCAACGACTATCTGTCTTGGCCGCGTAACCCGGACGTTGCGGACCCCGACGAGAACCAGCGTATCGTCGCGGCTAAACAGGAGGAAGTTAAGGCTAAGGGAGGAGTGCTGAGTGGCGCACCCGCTATCAATATTTCGGCTGCGAGCCCGGCCGTCGCAGTGGCTGCTTGAGAAGGGTGTTAGGCCCCAGTAGCATTTTGTATGAGTAGTGAGACATGACGAATGTTCATGTCCTCTTCTGTGTGACCAGCTTATTGAGCTTACGCGCCGCTGCAACCTGTGGGGAAACTTACCATATCACAAGTGCGGTTAAATCCCACTCGCAAAGTAATCTTACGGATCTCACATGATACCGACTAGATAGCATTGGGACACAGAAAGTCGGGTACAGTATACATATGGGCATGATCATAGGCGAGTGAAGGAGCTGTTACGTGTAAGCAACGTTTGCGATATACTTAGACTTTAAAGTCGCTCAGTGTGAAGGTATCTATCCCTGATAACCACCTAAGGGATCACAGCGGCTGCGACAGGTCGAGCGGGCCTAAGTGCTCCACCCGCGGTTTTGAATGACCGCAGTGAGTCGCCGAAGCGCAGCTTCATCCTCTTGTAGTATTGACGAAGGGATACCACCCCTAGAATAACCGAAACCGCCGCCGCCCTTCTGCGGAGGGTTGGTGGACCAATCGGCGACCAGCGGATCTGCAGGAGGTATATGCGAAGAACGACATAGATGGCTGACAAAGTGAGTGAGACAGGGTAGTTGCGCCGCGAACCTGTCGAACATCTGGGCCCAAGTGAGACAAGGCACCTCGCGCATAGTCCAGAGGAAAGAGCCGGACACGTCCAGACATTCCAGGGTATCTCGATGACACAGAATAAAGTCCTCCAGACGACACTCGGTCATGCTCTTCAACCCGAGGCCGAACGAGATGTTCTGTAGGCGCAGCGTCCTGAGACGGGGAAGACGTATGCCGCGGATGCCCGCTTCGATGGGTACGAACCCTTCTTCGCAGCCGCCGCTCCGAAGGGTCAGTGATTCCAGGTTGCGCGCCCGGGAGAGCACTTTCGGGATGGTCGTGAACCAGAAGTCTGCCAGTGCGTTGGAGAACGCCAAACAACGTTTGTTATTGCATGATAGTGACGCGGTGGTAAGCGAGAACACTGTCAACTGGTCTATTAAATCGGCGAATGCTCGGCTGTGGTACACGCTGTGCGTGATGGGGGAGATGTTCCCCAGGAACAGGGCAGACACCGTCGAGGGGGCGCATCGCGCTATCGTGGTCAGCAAGCGGTGCTGAAATTGCACGGGATAAGTAACGAGTTCGTCAGCGTTGATCATGGGCTGCGTATCGACGATGTTGTTGAACCTCAGATGCAGCGTGTGCAGAGATGGCGCTCGCCGAAGTTGCAGAAAGGCGGATATCCACGCCTGAAGCAAGACGTCTGGCTCTAGGAGGGAGGGCACTACTAGGATTCATCTGTTAGCAAGAACACGCTTGGAGTGGATCGAGACACACCGAATCTCCCTGGTTTTCTGTGAGAGTACTTCTCGTCTTCGCCGTCTGTCGCATTGTAGTCAAAGCTGATGCTTGTGACAGGCAAACACAGCTCCGGAGCGCACATTATCCGCCCCAGGGCATTCGCGTCTCGCAGCGTTCGCTGCAACTGGACGCTCCGAAATGATGGGAGGGGCACGATGTCGCGCAGCCACCTGCCTGTGTCCCTCACAGCACAAAGATCCCCAAGGTTCGTCATGTTTTGTAGGACAGCATGTAACAGCTCCACCGGTAGTCGAAGCAAAGGAGAAACGCTATGTGCATTCTCCTGTTCTCGCGAGGTAGTCTTTGATGTAGCCCGCACCCGCAACCCCGAAAGTAGTGGTTGGATGAGCTCCGTCGTGTGGCACCTGCCATCTAGTACCGCGACATTAAGGCTGTGCACAGCAAGGTTTGGACAGACCCAGGGCATCTTGTCGGGCTACTAAAGGCATTGTAATCAGCGATGTCGGGAGGTAACTCTGCCCGAGGACGCACTTACTATGGTTTAGCGAACCGCCAGGGGATTTGATGAATAACTTGATGGGCAGGCGATATGTCCACCTTGCACTCCAGTCGGAGGAGCACAGGATACGTGGGACGGATTCTACCTATGCAGAGTGGGCCGCATGGCGTCCTCACACCCAAGCACGCCACAGTGTCGGGAGAACGCACGGCTCCAAGTGAACTGAATCGACTGGATTGGACATCTCCTACCGTATACAACTGAGTGAGAATGCACGAATGGGAAGAAGTGTTTCTCCCCACTATGGGACTGAGTACGGTCAGCTAAGATTAGGGGGAACACGCGCTGATGCGTGCATTAACAAGGCATTTGGTCATGCCAAAGCTGAGAGGCAATGTCTGTAGCAGGCCGACTTCCTGGAGCCACCCGATCCACCGACTGGTTCGATATGTTTGAAGGACTCGGAGAGCGCGGTGACACCGCAGCCATACGGACGTGCGAGTCTACGGAAAGCCATGAATAGACCCTGTCAACCCGCCTTCCCGAAAACCAAAGCACCCTTCGCGGGAGCCGTGGCGTGGAGATGAGGATGGTTTCTTGCTTCCAGCCTCTCACCGGCGGTTCGCACCCTCCCACGGGTTAGCATAGAGACATTTCCATGATTACAAAAGTCGCAGGATCGCAGATCACAACGCTCTGAAGGGGCTTCGTAGAAGTCACGCACGAAGTATTAAAGGCGCCAAGTTAGTAACTTCAGGCCGGAGATGGTGTGGTGGATCATGCTCAATTTTGCGGCAGTCGACTGCGCTGTTCGGGCGAGCCGCTTAAGAATGCAAAAAGCTTCTATGGGCATGAATAATCAAGCTCGAGACAGAACAGACAGCGCAAATAAGGTGTATGTCCAGTGAAGACATACTAGTAGGCTTTCTCGTAGTACGAGAAAGCCTACTCCTCTCTCGAGTAAGAAGCTAGACAAGATGGCGCTAAGTTTGCGGACACAGAAGGGAGGCTTGCCGTCGTCTATCCGATCCGAAATAGAGAACAGGGTAGATGCGAGATGCAGCCACGACGGAGTTGCAAAGTTTCTACCGTTATCGTTGAGTATCCGACCAAGGTCTCAGATGGCGTGGGATTGAGATTGCATAATGGACCCCCGCCACAGGACCGTAGATCTCACGGAAGAAGAGCCCTGGGGAAGACGTCAAGCGAAACCGATGTGAACGAAACGCGGGCTTGCAGCGGCTGCCTCGACCATTGCAGTACATACATAGCTAGAACCAACTATCTGAAGCACTCCTGAGGGTAGCGCGAATTTCAACCCGGTTGTCGGGTTGGAGACGTCACAAATACATTTCATGTCATTTCCTTATCCCTTCAAGCCTATCGTACAAGGTCCATTTGTAGAACGCGACGCAATCGACCAACTCGCGTTTAGGCTGTAAATTCATGAATTGAGATACGTGATCCACGACGATCGAGAAGCGACTTACCTTGCTCGAATCTCCAGGTCTGATTCTTGCCCTCCCATTTACCCCAGAGTGTCACCTTGGTTCCAGGCGCCGAGTTGCCGTGGTCAGACAAGTCCCAGTTCTGGCTGGTGTTGGGGACGAAGACACTGCAGAATAGTTGATCAGTACCAACGAGACGTGAGTAAAAGTTCGATGGAACTGACCGGAAAGTGGAGGGGTCCTGCTCATCCGGCCAGACGTCCCAGTGGAACGGGGAGGGCGCAACGACGAGGGGTACGCCGTCGCCGGGCTGCTGCTCGATGCCGATGTACAGGCCAGAGCCAGCGGACTTGAAAGTCCACTGCCCGCCCTGCTGCTGCTCGACGATCCACTACCAAAGTAGACGCATCGGTCAGTGCCATTGCGCGCACACGGGGATCAGGCGGAGACGCACCTTCTGGTTGCCGCCGTCGTGATAATCGAAGCCGATGATGGACTTGTTGTCGCCGCCGGAGAGGTCCATGCACGTCCCGCCCATGACGTTGACGATCTTGTAGGTCTGGCCTGATTGGATGCTCGCCATCTTGTCGGTGTCGGTTGTGCAGTTCAGGTGGGTGGTAAGGGTACTGTATACTGCCCTATACCAGCGCTAGACGGGGTCTTATATACCCCTGCGTGCGCGATGGCTATGATATCAGTGGATGCCATGAGGTGGGGGCGACAGCGTGCGGGGTGAAGAGGACAGCCAATTTGACAGCAAGGTACCACTCGTTCTTTCATATTGGGGCTTCGGACAGACGAATACGCAAGCAAGTTCCGAGTAAACTATTGAGCACAGGACAGCATGACACAATGCCCAGCCTGCTATAGACTGGCGCTGCGCCTAGCGATTGTGTTTCTGGGGCTTGTGTGGACCCGCTTCTTCATCTGCACTGGACGGATAGAGACTATGCGTCCTTAATTCGGCGCAGGGTGACCTCGAGGCTGGGTCCAGTGTGTCCATTCCACGCTAAGAGGGTAGGACGAGGAGGTATGATCGCCGGATAGACAGATGTCAAGGACTCCGCTATGACACTAGTACTGCCAGCGATATCGATGGCACACTACGTCAACCGAACGCCCTGGAACGCTTCGACTAGCCGATGTTCAGAAAGAGGAAAAACATATGCTGATCCAAGGTCAAGAGCTCAACACGAGGCATCGTATGTCAGAGTATACAGGATGTGCAGCTTGCTCTTCGACGAGAGGTGAACTCGAAACGTAACACTGACAGTAGAATTTCGAAATGCCACTAACCCGGTTCGGTCACGTTCTGACGTATGTGCTGCACAAGGAAGGACATGTATATTCGAATGGGAGTGTATACAAGGTATTAGATGGCGACAGGAGATCTACAGATTAATGGAGCAGGAAGGCCGGGTATCGGCTCGAGTTTGAACTTGATACATGGCATACCGTCTGCAAGTCAGAATATCAATCTCTGGATGTATCTCACCATCTTACAGGTGTAAGTTTGGCAATGCACAGACTCCATTCTGAGTTTACAAACAGCTCTACAAACATTTTGAGCCAAAGCTCACAGTACTGTACTATTACTCCTTTATACAAAGGCTTCTTGGCACTGGTGGCCCCGGGTGGGCTCGTTTTTCTGGCACGATTTGTACCTCGAGATACAGTATACTATCATTTGGGTAGTTTTGCAAAAATTCCTGTAAATCGACGTGTTGCGCTCAGTTCGCTGGCTTTTGCGTCATATTTTTTTCATGGCATCGTGTAGCACCCTTCTATGTACCCCAATGTGATTTTTTTGTATTTTAATACGTGGTGTAGAGGATGCTGGACAGATGCCGGGGTGTGCAGGGGGTTTTGCAAAAGTTTGTCACGCGTGACATCCCCGCGAGATCCATCACGTTTTTGTCACGCCTCTCGAAGTTTTGCAAAACAGCATCGCTATAGCTACATCCTCAATCTCTTCACAATCGGGCTGCTTGAGTAGCTCAATGTATGGTACGCCAGTATAGTCCAACTAAAATCCTAGCAAAAGACCATGGAATGGGTACCAGATCTAGGTTTCACATGGTCTGTACGTGGTTGCAAACACCCTCCTCTTCCTCCCTCTCCATGACCACTCAATATTTCCCTAAACCAACTTGACAGAGGGTATCTACTAGTCTATATCTACATGCCTAAAAAGTCTCTAAATTGTTTTTTTGGTATGGAGCTCTCTCTAGGGGCTGCGGTAGTTTTGCAAATTTTGCAAAACTACCCAAATGATAGTATACTTATTCCCTTGCATGCCCAAAACGAAGTCGAACAACGGGAGATGAGTACGGTGGCGCGAGCACAGCCACCCGAGCCCCGCGTCACGCTCGCGCTCGCAACACCTCAGCACAATATACGGGAGCATTGGGGACATAATGGCAGGAAAGGGAGTATGTGAGGTTCACGATGTAAGTATGTAATCTCTCTTAGTCCCGTTGTTCATCTGGTAAGGACAAGATGGAGGTTCGGTAGCACATGTTACAATGTGACAGAGCTGCGTAAACGACTGGGCGCGAAATAGCCTCCACAACTTGAACGTGAATTTATCTATGACAATAAATCTGATAAAAGGTGTCCTGCTTTGGGTTAAAATCGCATCAAGGATTCGCGCTGTAAAGGACCGGTTGATGACTGTATCGATAGATTCAGCTGCGTCGCAATCAACAGCAATCAGAGACTCTTCACAATCATGCATCATTGTCCAGAGTCTCCGGTATCGTTAACAAGCTGTCCCCTCTAGTTGAAACTGCTAACCCCAAACGCAAATTCCGTAAACAACGACAGTGGGAACGCCTCCGCAATCGCCGTATACCCCGCTACATTCGGGTGCAAATAATCCCCCGAGTTGTAAATTGGATTCAACTGCGCCGGATTCGCAGGGTCCCGCACAATCGCATCGAAATCCACCACGGCGTCGAACAAGCTCGCATTCCCCGTCGGGCCACCGCGTATCCACGCGTTCACCCTCTGCCTTGTTGCCTCGCGCGTCGGGTCCGAGTACGGCTGGATTGTGTTGTTGGGCGCGCCGAAGGGCGTGATAGTCGCCGCGAAGATGGGAATCCCGAACGTGTGCACGCGCGTGATGATCTGCTGGTACGCGAGGAGCAACCGGTCGCCGACGAGCTGCTGCGCCGCGGCGGTCGTGTCGGCCGTGCCGATGTCGTTCACGCCCTCGAAGATCATGGCGTATTTAACCCCGGATTGGGCGAGGACGTCCCGCTCGATACGGCCTTGCGCATTGGGCCCTAGCCCGTCGTAGAGGATGCGATTGCCGCCGGCGGCTTGGTTGATGACGGCGATGTTGGCGGTGAGCGGGTCTTCTTGCATGCGGCGCAAGACCAAGTCTGGCCAGCTGTGGGGGGGTTAGTATAGCATGCAATCATCCAAGAGAGAGTAAGCACCGATCGTTCCCATCCGTGTCGCTACCACGGCCGTCGGTGATACTGTCACCTACGATCGCCCATACGGACGTGCTCGATGGCGCCCATGTCTGCACCGCACTCACGAAGTACCTGATCGCAAAAATGAGAATCAACTGCACAGAAATCCAGAGGGCAGACAAACGCACCAGTGAGCTATACTCTGTGTCGATGGATCTGTCATGTTCTGCGCATTCACATAATTCCCGAACGAGAAATACGACGTTGCCCTGCTGCCGGGGTGCGACGTGATATAATTGCTCGCCTGGCCCTCGGCGAGGTACATCGTCACGGTAATGGTCGACTGCGGCGCGATCGCAAAATTGAGCGGGTCCGACACGACCAAAGAGCCGTCGGGCACGATGATCGACTGGTTCCCGCTGAAGGTGACAGTCTGCAGCGTCGAGGTGTCGATCGCGCTGTCGCCTGAGGAGCCGTTCGAGGGGAGCGCGACGGTGACCGCGGTGATGGGCAGGTCGACGGACCCGAAAGCGTTGGAGAATTGCAACCGGATTTGCGAGCCGCCGACGGACATGTGGAGGGTCTGTCGCAGCGTCGAGTTGGGGAACACGAGCCCCGATTGGTTCTATACGGATGGATGGATGATTAGATGGCCGCCACTCCTATATACCCCGAGTAGAGACGCTTACGAACGGCGGCGGGGGTAGGTTGGTGTATTCTGTAAGCTGCGGCATGGACACCCACGTCTCCACCCAGTGTCCCCCCAGGATCGTCGGCTGGACAGGCGCGGCCAGGACGATCGCCAGCCCCGCGACGAGGGTAGTCAGCAACAGCGCCAGATGTCGATAGAGTGCCATGACGGACGGTCCAACGCGCAACGGGTCTTGGGCGTCGCGCGAGACTCACGCGTATGGACACAGTCCTGGTTAAATACGCGTGCGATGCCTCATCGTGCCGGCTTGCCTGGCGATGTGAGCGCGACGGGCCCGCGCGCGCGTCTTCACCTAGAGGTGTGACTGCGAGAGGGATCACCGTGAACGGTCAGATGGCTGGTAAGCCCGGAAGAACTTCGGGATGTGCGGCATTGATAGAATCGGAGACTTGGAGTGCGATCGGAAGACGTCCGATCGGAGATGGGTCGGGAGTAGCACAGAGTCCAGTTGAAGAACAGTGAACCGTGGTAGCGCTTGGTAGCGTCTATCTTATCACTTCAGAACTAGCTGAGACAGTGGTTGAATTGCAGACAAGCCCGCTAGCGTGCTTGCGGAGGAGGAGGCGCGAAATCGTAGCTGCCATCAGGACTGCTGACCAAGGCAGGACCTGTATTATATTTATGTACCAGAAGGACGCGCCAGTACTCCATTATAGCTTCGAGTGTTCTTCCGTGCCTCGTCCATGAACGTTGTGGATATCTTCCCAGCAGCAGTTGCAAATGTGGATCAGCTGCCGTGATAGTGCTATTCCCGACACACCGGTCCCGAACGTGTCTCATTGTTTTGGACCTCTTTGACGAGCTCATACGGTTGCAGAGAAAAAACATAGCGAGAGCGAACGCTGGCTGACGCGTCCGAAGATGGCATGCCCTATGTCCCTTTGCGACGTCACTGCGTCGTATTCTAGACTCCGGAGCCGACTACATCGGTAGTTCATGCAGAGGCAAACAGGAAACATATGCATCCATAAATCGCTGGTCGGGGTGTCGGAAAAATCAGAAAAGACCGATACAGTCGAGTCCCTCTTAACCCATACTTCCACCGGCCACTATGGGTTAAGAGGGACTCGACTGTATTGCTATATAATGCCGGATAATGCACTGACAAGTTAATCAGGTTCGAGGAGAGTTATCGGGTTCAGAAATGATCGAAAAGCGCGTATAAGCCTCTGTCACGCTGATCATGCCTGACGGGGGTTACAAGCCATTATAAGGCATGATAAGCGCGGACGACAGTCACTATATTGATTAGGTGCATCGTGCTTCTTGTGTAGAAAGATGCGTAGCTGATAATCTAAAGGCAGCCTATTAAACTGATTAGCCTCCATCCCTGGTGAATCGATACTGGTACTGTTCATCCGAGGAGATCTCGCGGATCAGCAGCACCTGGAGGGCTTGGTGTTAACGGCATTAGTACTGAAGCACTTGCTTCAGCTTGATCATCTTGTCATGGCGCATGCATATGGTGAATGGTAGGATGACGACACGCAACTGATCATGTAAACTATCTAGGCGCACTCCGGAGACGTCTCTCATGGCCTCCATCAAGCTCAAGCAATCGAATGCGAAAGTCATGTTGCTTGTGGCGGAAGGGTGCTTTTCCCCTTCATACTAGCGATTGAATGAAGGTCGTGCGACTTACCATTGAAACCTCCTCCGCGGATACCTCCCCCGGCTCTGCTGCTCGACTTGATCTCCTGAAGGCGATATCGATGTATCATCAACTCAAGGTGAGCGTCATCCAGGATCGTGCTGCCTTTGTACAGGTTCGCCACAACTTCAATATCATAGCTGCTGGTTTCTGAGCAAACACGCGCCAGTGAAACCTTGTCAAGGATTCCTTCTCAGATTTGTTCATCATTCCAGGAATGAAGTCATGCCGTGCGTGCGGCCCAGAACTACGAATAAGCATATGTATCTTTTCTGGTTGCCTACAAGTCCTCGCATGCACGACTTACAAAGGTTTGCGTAGTTCCAGGGTCAGCTTCGGAGGTCATACATTATGGTTAAGTCTCGTTGACTGCTCGTTTTTTCTCGTACACAATAGGGCCGCCTGCTGTCGCTGTAATCCTACGTGGTCTCCAAAGCGTCGTCTATGTCAGGCAGCTCTCCCTGGCCAGTCGTCAGCTCGGACATCTGCGCATGCTCCATGAGAACATGCGTATCCGCCTGGTCCTTCCCTCGCTGGGCCAAAGTCCTCCAGTGTGCCATATCTTCCGGGTTGCGCTTCCATCCTTTCGCCTAAATATCCGGCCGATCGCCAGATCCACACTATCTATGGCCGCTGAAAAGGCTGTGATTCACCTGCTCAGGCGAATCCCAGTGCCCTCTGAGAACGCGGCGAAAGTATGCATCATCCGCTGCTGGAAGTCTGTAACCATCGAGACAACGGTTCCAGTTTCTACGGGAGGCTTAATAGTAAGCAGGAAGTACCGTCTTGGCTGGTAGTTACAATCATTGACCTTCAAGCCAGCTGCACTGCCAGATGTTGTCTCTGATTTTCTGGTAGTGTGCATGTTGGAAATTGACTCTTCCCGCTAAAGGGCCCGAGTGAATGCGATAGACGCATCGCGTTGGAGAGCGGAAGTACATCTATGTCGTGACGCAAGGTAACACATAATATACCAGCAACAGGTCGCGGCTAACCTCGTATGTCCATCCTGAACCGTAGGTATATTCGAAGTGTTTTCCCTCTATTTCTTTGAAGTCTTCTGAGGATCCTTCCTTGCTCATAGTGGGTAGCTTCGCGATGGTATTTGGACCTGAGGCAGAAGTGAGTGTATTTATGTCGATAGCTCAACATCGAGACCCTAGTCCTATCAATGGCATATGCGCAATGCGGTTATTAGTTTAAATTTTCTTCTAGCCGGTGGCATGCCGAGGAACGGCTGGCAATGGCATACTGGCCATTCACGTCCAGGTCATGGTGACGATAAAAGGTTCTACTTCACTGTTGCATCAATACCGAAGGGGCAGATCTTACCATGCGGGCTCGCCATGGAGCGTACAGGAGCATATGAACAATTGATTCTCTAGTCTGTGGCATGTACAGGATTGAGCACATGGATGCACACAATAAGGAAAGCAAATGAAGGTATTCGCTAGGTTGACAGTCGACGGACTGGTGCGCATTGGTGAGCCGGACTTCAGAATAACGATCCATGAAATCTAGCAACATGCCCTCGAAAGCTTCTGGACCTACGCCGCATTTATGATTGCTGTAACAATGATACAAGAGAAGAATGATGGTGAGATCGAACCCAAAAAATACACGATGTAATGATCTGTGGGGAGGGGGAAAGAGCTATTAATGTGGAACAAGACTCTGGACAGTATGCTCGGGCTGATGAGTAGCTGCCGTAGCAGACGTACATAGGGTGATAATACAGAAATTAAGCGAAAACAGTGACTGTACACAGATGAACGAGCGCTGGGTATGAACTCGGACAGAAACAACTGAGTCGTCAGGGTGTAATGGACGGCCTGTGCATCATGCGGTGTCTGAGCGCCGCTCTCTCTCCCGCGAGTTTGTTAATGGCATTCAGCAGATCGCCGCGTCGTAGTGGTTCTGCGCGATGTCAGCAAGAGATTCGGATGTATTGGTTGCTACACTTACTGGTGATATGGTCGTCCATGCCAGCCTGCAAACATCGCTCTCGATCACCAATCACTAGAGAAATATCCTTAGACATCTATATTGTCCCACAGGGTGTAAGTTACTCACTTGCATGCGCGGTGAGTGCAATAATCGGTGTCCGAGGTAATCCATTGTGCATTTCATACGCTCGGATTAATTCGGTGGCTTCCATACCACCCATGAAGGGCATGGATACGTCCATCTACATAGCGGGGAGTCGTTAGTAATGGAATAACATAAATGTGAATCATCGTACCAAGATGATGTCGAACGGTCTGTTCTGCTGCACGCGCTCTTTGAATGCGTCCACTGCCAATGACCCATTCTCAGCAATTTCGACGGTATGCCCGTACTTCTCCAGTATCTTCACCGCCAGCTTCTGGTTGACCAAGTTATCCTCGGCCAACAGGATGTCGAAGACGATGTCATTAGGTGCGGCAACGGGACTGACAGTCGAAGACTCTAGTGCTGAGATTAACGCCGAAGCCAGATCTTGGGCAGAGACGGGCGTGGTAGCATGCGAACTGATGCTGTTATCGAGACACCATTTGACTAGAAGTGCGACGGTAAGACGCGTGCTCGATACAGTTTACTGGTCAAGTCACTCACGGTTCAGTCGGGGCATTGACTTCGAATATAGAGACATAGCCATTAGGCGATGCTTGTGAGGCGTAGGCGAACCACGTACTGGCAAGATCAGAACAATCGGGATGTATCGCAGATGCTCGTATTCACGGATTACTTCCGTCTGTGAAATACGATCAATGAAAAGGACTTTGGCCACAGCCAGAATATACATACGACGTTCAAAGAGTCCACGACGATGGTGTCAATATGTGGACAACGGTCCTTGTCGGAAACTTGCGAGGCGTCGTGGACGACGAAGGGACGTAGGCCCACTTCTTGGATGCGATCGATGACTCCGGTACGATCGTGAAGGGTGTCGACGAACAAGATGGTGCGCTTGGAGAACGGCGCCATTCTTTGAAGTATCGTCTCCATCGACACGTGGCTGATTTGGGAAGTAATAGTGAAGAAGAACTTGCTGCCTTTGCCGACCTCGCTTTCAACCCACATATTACCCTGCATTAGGTTGACGAGACGTTTAGAAATTGATAGACCCAAGCCGGTACCACCATATTCCTTAATAAACTATTAGATAGAAGATTGTACTCCGAAGCCAGGCTACTCACCCTAGTCGTCGACCCGTCGGCTTGACAGAAGGTATCAAAGATGAGGTTGAGCTTATCCTTGGCTATGCCTATTCCCGTGTCGGTGACGCAGAACTCGAGAGTAACACTCTGATCATCCAAGGCCAGAAGCCTACAGCTCAAACCAACGTGTCCCTTCTTGGTGACCTTCGACGGCGTAAACTTGATCGCGTTACCGACCAAGTTCGTGATAACTTGCCGTAGACGGAGGGAGTCACCAATGAGTTGATCCGGTATGTCAGGGTCCACATCGTACGTCAGATCCAAGTTGTTCTGGGAAGCGCGGACAACCAGAGTCTTCAAGATACCGAACACAGTCTGCCGCAAGGAGTAGGACACGGCTTCCATGGTCATTCGACCAGCCTCAACTGCAACATTATTAGCGGACTGTACGTGAGCGGAAGAGGGGTGCCCCTTACTCTTCGAAATATCCAGGATGTCATCGATGATCAGTAGTAGGGACCGAGCCAGACTGTGGACTAGTAGCAAGCTCTCCCGCTGGGACCGATTCAGGTCGCTATCAAGGGTCAACTCCGTCATACCAATGATGCCGTTCATGGGCGTTCTGAGTTGACGGCCGTAAGCTAACGGCCTCTGAAGCATGTCAACTACCTTACCTGATCTCGTGCGACATATTCGCCAAGAACTCCGATTTACTGCGATTCGCCAATTCAGCGGCTTCCCTTGCAGCAGTGTTCTTCTGGATACTGTCTCGCAAATTAAACACCATCTGATTGATCTGGGTTTTCAACGAGTCCATTTCACCGCTGGCTTCGACAGTAATGAATCGAGTGAAGTCGCCGTCCATAGCCGCTGCGGATATCTGCGCGAAACCTCGCACTTGGGTTGTCAAGTTGCCAGCCATGGTATTGACTGCCATCCTGTCAAATACGAAGTTCAGAACCTGTTCTGCACTATTGGGGGCACTATATACTTACGTGATTTCCTGCCATATACCTTGCACGTTCCCGACTTCAGCCTGGACACCTAACTTCCCTTCGGTTCCAACTTCCCGCGCGACCTTCTTGACTTCCTTGGCGAAGATAGCCAATTGGTCAATCATGTCGTTGATGGTGTTCACGAGCTGTAACATCTCGCCGGAGACTGACACACCCTCGATCTTCCGCGTCAAGTCACCGCGAGCGACAGCGGTCGTTGCAACAGCGATGGTTCGCACTTGTAGGGTCAACTGTGAAATGGTTCAGTCTTACCTCCCGGTATGACAGGTGAAAGAGGAACCCACGTTAGCAGCCATGACGTTGACATTGTCGGTCAAGTCCTATGATGTGGTGTTAATAATGATTTTCTACGGAGGTCAATACTCTTGGACCATTACCTTCCAAGTACCGCCGACATTGGCGACTCTGGCTTGACCACCCAATTTACCCTCAGTTCCGACCTCTCGAGCTACTCTTGTGACCTCATCGGCGAAGACGCTCAAACTCTCCGTCATGCCGTTCACGGTCTCCTTCAACTCGAGGATCTCGCCGCGCACGTCGACCTGAATCTTCTTCGTCAAGTCTCCGCTTGCCACCGCCTTCGTCACTTCGGCAATCGAGCGCACTTGGGTCGTCAAGTTCATGGCCATAAGGTTCACATTGTCCGCCAACACCTGGAATACCCTCAGTTACACTATCGGCGCTGCACCCTTGAGGAGACTCACCTTCCACATGCCCTGGACATCAGGTACAACAGCCTGACCACCCAAGATACCCTCTGTACCGACTTCCAAGGACACACGCGTGACTTCGCTAGCCAGAGTCGACAGCTGGTGCACCATGGAATTTACAGTAACCTTCAACTCCAGCATCTCGCCCTGAACATCAACCCGGACGAGCTTCGTCAAGTCTCCCTGAGCGACAGCCTTCGTGACCTCCGAGATCGATCGCACTTGATCCGTCAAATTGCTCGCCATTTTCTGAGTACCGAAGAAGAAGTTTATCAGCATCGAGACAACCACCGATCGCATTACACACTCACATTGACGTTCCGAGTCAAGTCAGCCCATGTACCCTGCACACCCTCTACGCGCGCCTGGCCGCCGAGGATACCTTGTGTACCGACTTCCAACGCGACACGTGTGACTTCGGAAGCGAATGCACTGAGTTGGTCCACCATGGAGTTAACTGTTTCCTTCAAGGTTAACATTTCGCCTTCGACTTGGATCTCGATCTTCTGCGTCAAGTCGCCCTTCGCCACAGCGGTAGTGACGTGAGCAATGGTTCGCACTTGATCCGTCAAACTTGCACACATCCGATTGACCTGAGATCCTCGATAAGTCCCAGGAACACGTCAATAGATACAGCGCCACACTCACGTTCCGAGTCAACTCTAGCCATACCCCTTCGACATCTGGGACGTGTGCCTGACCACCCAAATTACCTTGAGAACCAACCTCCAGGGTGACCCTCGTAACCTCCGCCGCTAGTGTCCGTAATCGTATAACCATTCCATTGACCGTGTTCTTCAAGTCCAGGATCTCGCCTTCCGCATCGACCTCGATGAATTTGGACAAGTCTCCGTGTGCGACAGCTTTGGTGACCTGCGCGATGCTCCGGACCTGATTGGTCAAGTTCGCGGCCAATTTATTGACAACGCCGGTGAGCTCTTTCCATGTGCCTTCGACACCAACAACGACCGCTTGACCGCCCAATTTGCTGCGATGGCGTTAGCTGAGAGGACCAATGGTATCGACTTACTCACCCTTCAGTACCGACTTCCAAACTGACCCGAGTGACCTCCTCTGCAAATTGACCCAAACGGTCGACCTAAGGTAGATTAGGATTTGCCCAGATAGATAATCGGAGACCTTACCATAGAGTTGATGACTTCCTTGAGTTGAACCATGACGACGCCTTGGACGTGAACCTCGATCTTCTGCGACAAATCACCCTGGGCGACGGCATTGCAAACGCGGGCGACGTCCTGAACCTGTGCCTTGAGAAGCTTGAGCTCCTCGATGGCGCTCATTCCGGATTCGAAAGCAGCCGCAGCCAAAGGACCAGGTGGGACGACGAGGGGCGAACCGGTGGGGGAGCCAAATGCCTCGCGGACCTGGCGCATCGTCTCGTCGTCGGTGATCGTCTTACCGCACGTCGGGCACATGAACACCTGCGTCGCGATGTCGTACTCGGGTTCCTGGCGGTCCGTCGGCATCTCGCCGCCGGACAGTCGGACGGCGTCGAGCGAGCTCTGGGCCATGTTATCGAGGGAAAGCACCATGGGCGAGGGTGGGCGGCGGCCGGCGCGGTTCGAGAAGCTGCGCGACCAGCGCCCGCTGTAGTTGGAGCTGCCATTGGCGTGGTACGGGTCGATCGAGCTGGGCGCGTTCGGGTCGGGGACGGAGGGTGCAGCGTTGGCGCTGGCGGCGACGGCGTTGGGGAACGGATAAGTCCCGTTCGCTGGTTTCGTTTGGGCAGCGGCGACGGCAGTAGCGTTGTTAGGCGGGTGGGTACCATTCTGTGAAGCATTGGACTTCTTTGAAGCGGTCTCATTCTGAACAAAGGGGAAAGAAGCGGGAGTATCGCCTACACTGCGTCTTTTCTTCGCCTCGGGCCCATTCCCGCTGTACTGCTCGCTCTCCTTGATCGCTCGGAGCTCCTCTTCGGCGGTGTACATGCGCCGCGCGATGCTCTTTATCGAGCGGACGATCGATTCGTAGTACCAGCCATTGGGGCCGTTGTAGACGGGCGGCGGCGTCGATGAGGGAGCGGACTCGTAGAGGGAAAGGAGTGCAACAAGATACAGAACAAAAGCTTCCTCGCCGTTGGACGAGGCCATGGTGTCGACGGTCCTCGTCGTCGCGCGCGGCGGTGGAGAGGGCGTTTGAGAAAAGGAACGGAATGTATTATTATCGGCCAAGGTCCGCTGTTTTAGGTTTATCCGCACGTGTTACATTGGAGCAGCCCCCATTCCGTCGCTCGGCAGCGTACAAACTTGTAGGTAAAGCAATGGCTGAGCCGACATCGAATTCGTTATTTCCACAGCAAGGTCGTAGTTCTACCGTAATACGGCTGAAGAAAAAATCAGCAAGGAATGGCGAGGAAGACAGCCTCGTCTGTCGAGAGTACGAATATTTACCACCGAAAAGGGGGGGGGGGCTAACATCCGGGAAGCCTATTCCACGTTCAGGACACGCTCGCCCGTTTGCGAACATCCGGGGAGGAAGCATGAGACCGTCCCCACCCAAATAAAACCAACTGATTCCGATATCAATGCCCGAGCGGAACCCGGTACCTGCAGGCTCCTTTAGCATCATAGAAGCAGCCAGATATCGTATATGTACCATCGTGATCCGACCGTACAAGCTTTGGATGGAGCTAAGTATAAGCAATGCCAGCTCGCACAGCATCGCTTGAACAGGGTGTGTCGTCGCCGTCGACCTGCGTCATCCCTAAGCTCAGCGACTGATGCATTGATGAGCGATCAGCAAATTCAATTACGGTACGCACCTCCCATGACCATCTCTCCGACATACATTGGGATTTTGAGTTTCACGGTCGTCCCTTCCGTCGAGCGTTATCAACGTCAGGCGACCCCGCCCCTCTCATTCGGATAGTCCGTCATTTCTGCGTCCGCTGAAATCCATGGTTTGCGTCATCCTAGAGGTCCGTGAAGACATCAAGCTCCACCTTTGAAGGGAATATGCCTGGAAGGGAGGCTCGAGGATGGACGTACCCAACTATAGTTCCGCGCAGCACGCATTTCGTGGCTGGAAATAGGTAAAACGCCGGGCCACCTCCGAACAACTATTGACCTCGGTCGTAGAGAAACTACGCCGCCAGGCTCGGTGCTTTGGGGTCCATTCTTGGGCGAGCATTCACAGCGTTGGTGCTGGACGAACAGTCGTCAGCGGTTGGACGGTCACCTGAAATGATGCAAGGCATTTGGCATCCACAGATCCTTCGATTCCATGCCCCAGGACGATCCCAAGACAGGTATGCGTAGCCGCAACCTACTTGGTGAGTATAGGCGATTCCCAAGCGGACAGGACGGTTATTCGAGTCCTTGTTCAAATGAAATATAGGTGTCAGTCAACTGAACGTGCATGCTTCGCGGCCGACTTGCGCGCCCAAATTAATTAACCATTGCAAAGGTACGCGCCCAACCGGCTATTGCAAAGGGTATTCTCGTGGTCAGTTCCACTAGCCTTACGCAATCTTTAACTATGGAAACTCACAAAGAATCAGCGAGTTCAAAGTACGTGCCGGGGCCCGGTAGTAGAGAAGCGCTCAACCTTCCTCAGTGCAGAACAGCAGCTGGAACTGATTGTTCCGGGCTAAATGTCACAACGATGCGTCACCCTTCACCAGGACATTCGACGCTATTTGAAAGGGCTCAAAATGAATTGTCTGAAAGAAGGACTTGGATCGGAGTATTCCGGAGGACTACAGTATGCCGAGAGATCCCGAAAAGGAATATATATGCCGACGCGGGCGTTGTGGGCGCACCGAGGGCATGCTTTACCTGCGCCTCTTTGAGTACTAGTCTTTCATATCTTTGGCAAGGAAGGGTCGCACGAAGAGGCTTTTTTCTAATGAAGAAGCACGAAAGACTTCACGCAAGACCCTATCCTCTCTCTGCATGAAGATCTTCGGAAATTGCGACCCATTGCAACTTGAACAGAAAACAATTTTCGGACCTACACCCTCGAATGTATCTAACGCTGCTGTACAATTCTGGGGCTCCTGATGCCTACTATTTTTTCTACTGCGTCTTCAAGCCTGCTATTAACCTCAATTAGAATTTCACCATGGGTTTTGAAGGCCTAACAAATGGGATCTAATTTACCAGGGACTCAGCTCGTGCTTCCTCTGCACCATGTAGAAGACATTTTGGATGGGTTTGCCGTAGGAAGTTCAGATGAAGCCTCCGCTATACTTCTCAAGACGTTTACTTCCTCTGGGTTATAACGACGCGTTAACATCTAGGCCAGGGACTGCATGAAGACATGGAGCGCTACAACGAGAGGCTCTTCCGACGCTCGCCTTTGAACCCTCTGCGGCTACAGTGATATTTTAATCCGCCAGGTATACTCTGGGTGTACTCGGGCATACTTCTCGCTGGTAAACCTTCCCTGCTCTATCATTTACTCTCCCTATCTACTTTTAGGCAAGTTCCTCCGCTTTTTTCTAGATTCTCTACCGGCGTAGAGCTCGATCTGCTTCAAAGTGCGCATTGGGAAGTCATCAAACTCGTCAATTCCCCAAGAAGGCTTCCTCCGGCGACCCAGAAACCAGGACATCAGGGGCCATCTCAGTCGCACTACCGATCGGTACACCCGGTCTGCACCCTAGAGCGACAATCCTCACTTGTTATCTAGGTACCTGCTTTGTGTGTGACTCTTCAAGAGTCCTACACGTAGCGTCGTAATTCTACTCGAGCTCGGATAGTAATTTGGCTCGGTATTCCGTCTACAATCAGACCTTGGCTCCAAGTGGGATTGTATAACCTACGGGAGGATAAATCTGCGTCTTTATGGTCGTATCGGTCGAAAGCTTTTCCGGGATGGACGCTCCTTCAGCCAGAGCAATCATTCATGGACTTCACTCGGAACATGCGTGAATGGGGTAATAATCGTACCCAATTTCTCTCCCAAGGTACTTACGCAAGAATTGCACAGGCTCCTGTCCAGGGCCTGAAGTAAGGTTCTAGGGAAGAGGCGACTGATACGAGGGAAGAATGGGAGCGTTGCAGGCAAACTGTTATGCAATGCACGACCTCGCTTTGTCAGCGCCGTGAGACTCTCCAGGAGCAATTCAGAATTTACAAGTTGAAGTCATTGTGATTGAGCGGCATAGCATCAGGATACATACCAATGAGTCCCAACTGCATGCCGAATTATCCACTTGTCAGTCCTACGTTTCTATTGCGGGAAGAAGAATCGTATACGCATATATGGTATGCCTCCTCTGCGCCTCCTTGAACGCAGCGAAAGGTGGCATGTTCAGCAGGGTCCAACATCAATCCGCAAGATTGAGTCCAAGGTGTTTTGGTATCGATTGCTGTTCGAGCATATTTTAAGCTTGCAAACGTCACATTTGTGGCTGACCATTCTTTCCTACATTCCGAGAATTGAGCTACCTAGAGATAATACCAGCTTTGCAACACGAGATCAAACCATGCTGCGGAGTGAGGTCAGATTCGAGATACATTCCCCACTATTGGAGACTCAAATCAAGCCTCAAACCCGAACCAGATCATATCCTGTGTTCCATTAATCGGGACGGTGTGGCCGACGCCCTGCGCGTATATTCCCTCAACATCCGGGCCCCATATCGTGCGGTTATACCCACTCTGCGGGTTGTTAACCTCAACTATCTGCGGAGCGTTGTAATTGTACCCAAAGACGTTCGTCCACTGTTTCATCGTCTCGAAGTAATTCTGCGGGTACAACGTGGTGTCAGCGGTGCCATGCCAGATGAGCATCTTGGGGCGTGCGCCAGAGTAGCCGGGGTACATCGCGCGGGCGACATTACCCCATTGCTGGGGCGTATCCATCACGTCGCCGAGCGCACAGGTCGAGTTCCAGGCGTCGACGGCGTTCGTAGATGAGTAGAAACAGCCGGCTGGGACGCCCGAGTAGACGCTAGCGGCCTGGAACAGCTCTGGATATGCTGCAGCCAGGACGTTCTGCTCAAGGACACAATAAGTTTCTATTTCTACTGAATGCAGGTGTGCACATACCGTCATCATGGCGCCGGAGCTGCTGCCGGTGACAAACACCTTGGATGAGTCGGCTCCGTACTCGGAGATGGCCCAAGTAACCATATTCGCGATCGAGTTACTGTCGCCGCCGCCGTTGTGCGTGAGTGTGGCTTGCGAGCTGACATCCCAACATGCACCCTGGCGCGGGCTGCTCGGGTAGATCACAATGAACCCGTACTGCTCTGCGAGCTGCGCGTATGGAGAGCCTTGGTAATACGCTTGGGCACTCCCGGTACAGTAATGGCTGCCGAGTCGAGTTAGCAGCCATGCGTATTGCCAATGGTATAAGGGGATAGACTTACATGGCCAGGACAATGCCCGGGGAAGACGCGAGGTTATTGGGTATGTAAACATACATGGGCACATTGGTCGGGTTGGGGCCCCAGTTGGTCACTTGTTGGAGTGACCCTCGGGACTGACGCTTGTCGACCGAAGCAGCATGCGCGAATAACGCGAAGAGGAGACCGAGGAAGACTGGAAAGAACGTTGTACTCTTCATGGCGTCCGCTGTGATGGCAGAGGTGTCCTGAAAGTTGAATGTTGAGCACCTTGGGGCTTTGAATGAAGGTAAGGTGCCCTTTATACCAGGTGAGCATCTCACTGGTCGGTGAAACGTTTGCTGGCGAATCCGAAGACTCCGAGCAGGTGTAACTGCGGCTGATACCTGGAGGCAGCCTCCCGTGATCTCCCCGTCGTATGCACACCTGCCAGCGAATAGGGTTCATTATCGGGCTAGTTACCGAGGAAATACCTGTTCGTCCCAAGGAATCATCAAAGTGGAACGTACGAGAAAGGGCTCATTCTAGCGTGCACCTCGACAAATTCATTTCCGTGCCGGTAACGCAACGAGGCCGATGGGTCGCCAGGCAATCCCGAGCGCATCCCTGTCATTAGTGAACTACCGATGCAGTGACACCTTATAATACTTACACCGCGACGGTAAAACTCTCTTCAGGGACCGAGGGAAACCGAACTTCCCGTAGATCACCTGACGTACCGAGAAGTGTTCTTTGTCGTCTCTGAAAGCGCCGGTTCCAGATAGATGGCGCTAGTGAGGTTGTATCCACACCTTAGGTAGAGCGATACCTCTCCGAACGAATAAAGATATGTGAAGCACACCGAGGTCGTCGAGGCGTACCTAGGGAACGGACCTCTTGAGCCAGCGGCATGTTGTCGCAATGAAGCTCTAAATCGGACATACTGAAGACTCGCAGCAATCGCAAGCTATGTGGAGCGATGCCATTCCTGGGACTTTTGCTCCGTCATCGCATTGAGCAGGATCGCAGTGCTAGACTGGAGAGCGGGTATCGCGAGGGTCTTACCACTGATTCAGAGATAGGAAGCACGGAGAGATAGACGACTGTCTGTGCTATTTATTCTGGATTCATTCACCATGAGAGTTTCAGATTGAGAGAAGAATCCTGTCAGCATACATTTGCCAATAGGCAACTACAAACTCTCAACCTGATAATTAGCAGCAAGAGTCGTCCGACTGGTGATCAAACTTGGAACGTTTGAATGATCTTACTTCGGGCTGACGGGCAGCTTAAATTACACCCGCGTTCAACGTTGCCGTGGCCGGTTTCAGTATAACTTGCTCCACAAGTCGCTCCTGTGGGGCCACTACCATAGTCCTTACCAAATAAGCGTATGGTCTAGCGTCAGCATAGCACGAGTTGAGAGGCAGGATGACTTACATAGCAACCATGATCCCGGGAGACGAAGCGAGGCTATTGGCTATGCAAACATACATGGGCACAGTGGCCGGGTTAGGGCCCCAGTCGGTCACTTACTGCAGCCTGTAGTGACCCGCGAGCCTGATGCTTCACTACCTGAGTCACATATACACAGGAGGAGGCCAAGGAGGATCGAAAAAACGTTGCAGTCTTCATGACATTTGCTGCTAGAACAGAGAGCACCTCGAAGGTGTATGCCCACGGCAGTAGTGCTACAAACAACAGCAAGGACGCTTTTATACCAGACGAGCTTCCCACCACTTTGTGAAATGTTTTCTTCCGAAGGCGAGGAGGTGTTGTGGCGAGTGGTGTCTGGATGGAGCCTGCATGATCTGCGTCGTACGGCCACTGTCAGAGAATGGGGTTGAGGATCTGTCTGGTTACGCAGGAGTACTGCGTTCGCCGCTGGAACATCATCAACGTGGAACGATTACTGGACCATGATTGGTACAAGTTAAGTCAGGGGCGGGCCAAATTGTCCCAGTACAAACTTACTATAAGCAAATGCGAAGAAGAATGACATGCAACCAGTCAGTCAGTCATAGCCGAACAGGTCACGGCGGACGATGTAGGAAGAATATGTGCGTCCAAGGCATCAAATCAAAATGAAGCTGCGAGAGTGGACGCACCGGAACTGGGCTGATCACCGAATCGCGGTCTTGCTGGAGCGCAGTGACATCTCTAACTCTCCACAGGACCAAAGCGTATCATAATAACATTGTACGTGATTTCCACCCTCGCTCAGAGAGCCTGGGCGTGGGTCGCTACCTCTCCAGCGCTGAGATGGAAACAGTCGGCTCTTGACTGCGTATAGAGCTTGCGGGATACCTAGGGCTGGAGCGGATATGAATACCAAGCCGTACCTTTAAAATTAGCGGGAAGGGTTGGACAAATCCTGGCGCAGGTGCTCTCCTATGGCCCCGCCGGGCTGACTACATATGAAAGTTGAACTAAGGCATGATGGCCGCTTTCCACAGGGCCGCCGCGAGTCTGGCTGACGGTGTACAAGTACTCACATGCAAGCTTGAATCCGTAACCGTGTACCATCCTGAGTGTGATGGCATGCCAAATTCCAACGTGAGGTGCCTCGATATTAATCTCCATGTCGGATCTGCTGGGCCACTGACGTCGCTGCGGCAAGACGAAACTAGCATATGGTCCAGTTGCAGTACAAGCAGGAGTAAGTACCGAAGAGGTTATTGCGAATCCTGGATCACTGTCCAAATTGCTGGCCACAAAACAGGGTCCTCAAGTACTTACACAGAGCTGTCAAGAACGCTTGTCTGAAGTTGAAGTTGAACCGACGGCTGTGGCGCCGGCGGTAGGCTTGATCCTGCGCCTCTTAAAAAAGACTTAGTAGACGAGCAACTGTCTTTAATGGACAAATATGTGCAATTAACACGTACACACATGTAAGTTCTCATCGATGCCACATGTTACTTAGCACCAGCTAGGTAACAAGTGTTAACGAGTTGTAATATGTGACCATTGGTCCTTGCGGGTGTGTGGAGACACCTTGTGAATATTTGAAGGCAGCGACAGGAGGAGACCCCCATGGACCCACAAGCTGGAAGCGCATGATTGTGAGCTGACTAATCCATGACACGTCATCTGAAAGGAGCGTGGCTGGGGAATTTCCTGTGCCTGCTAGCGCTAAGTCTAGACTAGATCTGTCTTCACTTTCTCTGCTTACTCCTTTCCTCCATCTATGCACTTCGTCTGCGTCACGGTGGCTGCCCACATCCCGCAGAACGAAGTGTCGCAGAACGGCTTCAGATACTAACGGAGGTGTTCTCCAGCCACAAATGCTATCGTTTCAGGAAAGATGTACTTAGTGTTCTTCTGCGGTGACATCGTCCAGGCGGCGACTCTCGGGTACTGCCATGCACCTCGTTGTCGTTTATGTCAACGCCAGGTCAACGCTCACACTAGCTGTCAATACCGGCAGTGATTAGACTGATGTTTGACGACTGCATCTGCACCCGCGTATTTTCTCGCATTTCTTGACAGGGCGTGGCGCCCACAGTGAGCGGAAGTATTTTAGCGGGATTGGAGATAGCGCTATTCTGGTCGGCCTTATCTCTATCCCTTTGAGCTCGGGGATCGATTCTCGTTTCAGCACCGATAACAGTGCCACTTGCTGATGCTGATCATGGACATCCTCTCATGGGAGAAGTTATGTAACGCAGCAAAACAATTCCTCAAGCACCCCCGCAACCGAGTCTTGCTCCGCCTCTCTTTGTCGGTCTTTGTCTTGGGCGGATCCTGTTCTCGTCATGTCGAAGATGGACAAGGCAGCTACTGTCGTGAAAGCTGTAGCGGTCGACAACGGTAGAAAGTCGGAAGAAGATGGCGTGTACGATCTCCGAGGCATGGACGATGCATTACTGGCAGAGCTGGGGTATAAAGCCGAATTCAAGCGGGAGTTTACGGTAACGCATATGCTTCATTTTGGAGGTCGGTTCTAACGGGGGAAACATTCTTAGCTCATTGAGACGGTGGCCTTTGCCTTCTCGATCATGGGTGTAGTGGCTTCCGTGTCATCCACCTTCTCGTTCCCTTTGGAGTCAGGTATCGCAAGCGTTTCTCGAGCTGTAAATAATACGATGCGAAACTACCTACTTTCCAGGTGGTCATGTCGGGATGGTCTTTGGGTGGCTTGTTCCGTCACTCTTTGTCCTTTCAATCGCGGCATCTATGGCCGAGTTGACTTCGTCGATGCCGTAAGTTTCTCGATAACTAAGTAGACGTGGTCATCTCATGAGAGTCGACAAGGACGAGCGCCGGACTCTATTACTTCTCTGCAAAGCTAGCCCCGCCGAAGTGGTCTGCGTTAGCAAGCTGGATTACAGGATGGGCCAACGTGACTGGTCAAGTTACGTTGGTGTGTTCCATCGACTTTACTTGGTCGGTCCTTCCTCTGGATTGAGTGTTATTGTATTGACATGCCTTTCACGTAGTGCCCAGATGATCACGACTGCAATTGCCGTAGGCTCGGACGGAGCTGTGACTCTGGGTGCTGGCCCGACGTACGGTATCCTGTGGGCTATCCTGATTTCTCACGGGGTCGTCTGCTCAGCGGCTACGAACGTTCTTGCACGTCTGAATCTAGCGTATGTGCTAGTAAATGGGAAGTGAGACCTTGTTCCTCCCAAAGGGATTTGATCCTAACAAAAGTGTTGTGCAGTGGGTACCACCATCGCCGCAATCATTGCACTTCTAGTGTGCTCCGGGAATAATGGGACTAGAGTATCTACTAGAGATGCCTTTACCATGTTTGAAAATAACACCGGATGGGCCAATAGTAAGGCGACGCTTCTAACGTATGATAAGAGCACTGATCGTCGGCTAGGCGGGTGGGCATTCATGTTGGCCTTCACCGCGCCGATGTGGACTTTAACAGGCTGTGAGTTACTCTAGCGGTACCCTCCTACTTCGACTTACTACTGTTATGAAGACGACTCCGCTGCTCATATATCGGAAGAGGTTGCTGGTGCAGCGAGGGCCGCTCCGATCGCCATTCTGGTTGGGGTCGGTGCGACCGCTTCCCTCGGCTGGCTGCTTTTCATATCTGCGTCCTTCGCCACACAATCTGTCTCCGACCTTCTAGCGACGACCCTTCCTCTTCCTATGGGCCAATTGTTCCTGGACAACCTCGGTAAGAAAGGCATGCTGGCTATCTGGAGTCTTATCATCATTGTCCAGGCACGTGGTGCAAAACTTCTATCCGTCCGCTTCCAGATTACTGAAGTTTTTCCCTCAGTACGTTACCGGGGCTGCCCAGGGTGTCGATGCTTCTCGCGTTGTCTTTGCATTCGCAAGAGATAATGCTTTACCCGGATCACGCTGGTGGAAGCAGATCAACAGGCGTACGCTCACCCCCGTGAACGCCGTCTGGCTCGTGATGGGCCTGGCGGGTATCTGCGGGCTCCTTGGTTTTTCTGCAACTGCGCTGTCATCTCTAGCAGGGTACGCTGTTCAGCCCATGTTCCTATGTGGCATAACACAATGCTCACAATATTTTCTTATAGAGCGTCGGTCATTGGATTGTATACTTCTTACGCCACGCCCATATTTTTACGAATTACGTCCGGTCGGGATAAGTTAGTGCCAGGACCGTTCTCACTTGGTCGGTGGTATATGCCCATAGGTATCGTTGCTGTCGCGTGGGTCGCATTTATCATTGTCTTGTTATTGTTCCCGTCGGCGTCAAGTGTTACCGCCGACGAGATGAGTACGTGCCCCTCTACTGGTCACTCACCTTACTGATGTTCTGTGACAAGATTACGCCGTGGTTTTGGTCATGGCCGTCTTCATCTTTGCTGGGATATCTTGGATAGTGTCCGCTCGTCGCTGGTTCACTGGCCCTATCTCCAACGTAGATATGAGCACCACTACCACGTATGACGAGAAGCAGCTAGAAAGACGACATGATTAGCGAATGGTTTTCACGTATTCCTACTCGTAGATCACAACACACGTGGCCCTCTCACCGGTTGTTTGTGTAGAAGACGTCCTGTCGGATCCTCCGCTTGCTGTGAATACATTGCCTCGTGCCCGTTAGTGCTTAGTGTGAGCCTTTGGTCCGTGGTACATTACCTGGCTTAACTAAGGACTATTTCCTATGCAAATTGCCGTCAATAGCTAGAGAACATCGGAAGCCATGTATGTATGTCCAGGTGAGTGAGAGCACCGGTTAGTCGAGAATGGAGGGCTCGGATATCAGCCGGAGACATCATCCAGCGGTACGGTGTTGTCCAAGTATGCCAAGGTGCTGGGCTGGTAACGACATAATTACTCATGGCGCGCTGCCGTAACGTCCAAACAGGCTCATTATGGCCATCGATGACACGATGGACCAGACAGGGAGGTAGCCGAGGCAGTAGGCCGTAAGTACCCGAAGATAGACTTTTGTTACGGTCATCTTGCTCTTCATTGGTGGAAGATAATAGATCGAAAAGATGGCGAAATTCCAGCAGTCCTGGTGCTATATCCAGAGTACGGCGAGATTGCCCGATGTTATCCGTGACTTCAGTCCCTCGCTTCGACGAGAAGGGGATAGATACTACGACACCGCTGATGCTGAGGAGGAAGTCGTCGTACAGGATGGGACTAATGAGCTTACATTATGCACTCACATGCTTCAGTGGGGAGCTTCCCAATGCCTTAAGAGGTCGCTCAGGCTTACACTTCGGTGTCACCTGCAGGCGTGCCCAAAACAAAAGAAGCAGAACATGGCCCTAGACCCTGGGGAGCGTACTAGAAAATTCTTGAACCGTTGTGAGTCAAACCACAGACACGAAGGCATCCACCGGTTACTGTTCATGAGGTTGTCCATCATGAGCGGAGGGAGCTCGTGGAGAACCATACGCCTGTTCAATAACATTGCTTCGGAGGCCAATGCATCCGATAGGCCAACATGGTGCACATTTCCGATGTCTTCTGGAATGCCCGAGCCGAATGGATGGGGTATAAAAAATTATGCCATGAACAGCATCCCACCCGCTCCCCCCCCCTGGACCTGCGGCAGCCTTCGTCTGGTCATTGTATAGAGCACCCTCACGAACGAATTTTTAGCATGAAGCGTCGGGCGTATTGACCGTCTGAAAGGCGAGGATGCCTTCCAGGATGGCGGTCGCATACGCTCTGGACTTTGCCTGCCGTGATGCTAGTAACATCTCATCCCATGGCTCACCTGCCATCCAGCCCGTACCGCTGCACGGCATTTCGTGCTTTTTTTGCAGGAGTCTGACCAGAACAGAAAGCCCAAAGCCTCTAGGTTGTACAATCGAATCCAGCCGCTGGAATGGAGGAGAGGTGTACGTAACAACACATTCGAAGATGCACCATATTTGGGGTCAAAAGGTTCCGCAATTGGATCTGGAGATCGGGCGTTGACAGGTGTACAGCACCTCGCATACGGTAAGTATAATTGGCGAGGCAGCGTCTATTCCTTTGCGGCGGGATACTTCAAATGTGTTCAGGCACAACGGAATATGATAACGGTTTGCATATGTTACATGTACATATGGTAGCACAACGGCACGAGTGACTATAACTCGTCCGGCTTCCAATCGTCATGTAATCTGAGCTCAATCTTCAACTTTACCCAAAGGAGTCTTCGACATCACAGCGAGTACTTCATATAAGACCTGAGAAGGAGTCAGTCATACCATACCAGGTTCAAAGGCTGCAAGCGTGACAAACGTCTGCGGCGGCCATAGTGGTCAACTCAGCGTTCGTATCGTAAGCCGGAGCCACTTCGACCAGGTCTACGTTACGCGTATAAGAATAACAAGCCAGTCAGCTCGGCCAAAATCTGTCACGGGGTGAAGGGGACGCCCATACGTACCAGCAGACACGATATGAAGGCCGTCCAATCCTCGCAGAATTGTGCGTAGCTCACGGGTGCTCCAACCGCCGGTCTCGGGGGTTCCGGTAGCAGGAGCAAATGCTGGGTCAATGGAATCGATCTGGTAGTCAACGTAAGGGACAGATATAGCTGGAACAAGAATCGTCCACCGACATCGATGGACAGGTACACGGGCCTGTCGCCGACGGTGTCACGAATTTTTTTGATGATGCCGGCAGTACCTAATGAGCAAGTCAGCATACTCGTTATACGGGGCTGCTGTATCGTACGAACCGATAGTGTCTATTTCCCGTGCCTCGATCCTTTGAAAGCCGGAGGCATCATCGTTCTCGTAATCCGCGGGGCCCGAAAGTGTTGTTCGGATGGCGCCGTGCTGTCAACGAGGGATTAACTAGGATCAAAGAGCTCCAGGAGGAAGCTGGAGAGAGAAATATAGCAAAGAAGAACTGGATACTTGCGATTGAGCTTCCGTTCTTGATCAGGCCTTCTTGACTGGCCCAATAGAAGTACGTGCCATGGTTGATTGCCGCCTGCTCGGAGGGAGCCCCACCAAAGACCGACGGCTTCCATGTGTCGAGGTGACTAGATTACAGTACTTTAGCTTCCGACATAGATACTTCGAACACATGTCCTCGTACCTGTCGAAATGGATGACTGATATCTCTCCGTAGGCGCTATAGATAGAACGCAAAATGGGCAAGACAATGGTGTGATCTCCACCCAGCGTGATGAGCCTGGGGTGATGCTTGCCGTCCTTAGATAAGGGCTTCAAAGGTTGGCCAGTGGCGGAATCGTTACCCAGAGGCGTGAAAGCGGAACGGTGGAGGAGCTCCTTGTGCCCAGACTCGATTTGTCTGATGGCGTGCTTGTTGTCATAAGGAGTCACGGGGATATCCCCGCAGTCCACTAGTTTCAAGCCAGAAAGGAAGGGGTTGACGGCGAGTGGTACGTTGTAGCCACCATACAGCTGAGGATGTACACAGTTAGCGTCACCGTATATCCCCTAAATCAAATGACGGACTGTAAGGCGACGAGAACCGGCACGAATACCCGCTGGTCCGAAGCGAGCACCCGGTCGATACGATGTTCCGGTATCCTGTATCCTAAAGTCAGGACTATCACCGCAAAATTAGACGACGTATCCACTCACAAATGGCGCCCCGATAAAAGCAATATCGAAGGCCTCTTCTTTATCTTTGCCAAGGCACTGCACCCAAGGAAGTTTGGCGAATGTAGTAATCCCGGAGAAAATGGAATCGGCGGTCACTGGAAAGCGACATATCAGCGGTGACATATAACGAGAAGAACGTCCTGCGAATGAATACCTTCATTGTCACCAGGATATACCGCTTGGTACGGATATTTCACGTAGTCCAATGGCATCTGAGAGCCATGGCCATGGTGGAACTCGTGAGTGAGCCCGGTAATCGCATGAACGGCAACAGACACCGCAAAGAGCAAACGTGACTTGCTGAAGGCCATGATGATGTAGACAGAAACGCTTGTGGTCCGGACTTAAATGTCCAGTGGTTGGCCCGAGTGTTATATAGCCTTTCCTGGGCAGACCGGGAAGAGCACAGGTGTACGTTATCCCACCGCAAATGTGGCGGGACCCATGACTTCCCATCCTTCTCGATAACGTTAACCAGAGAATCGGCAAAACCTTGAGATGCCTCACCCCGGGCCATAAACAGTTCGCATCTGCCTCGAGGCGATCGCCCCGGCATGCACGGGTAATCATCGTATCTGTAATCGGTATGTTGGTCCTCGCAAAACTTCAGAATGACGCTAGCACGTCTGCTTACCGGGTTCCTGACCATCCACCAATCTGATGATGGATTGAGCCCCTTCGTAAGTTCGATAAGCGCGCAAGCCATGAGTCGCTCCTTTCTGGTTTGGTTTCCAGTCCTGCAAAAGTAGTAAATCCGGAAGAGGGGTATAAGGAGGACGATCCGATGGCGCCCCACCCAAAAGTATCGCCCTCCGATATGTCTGTTTACCCTTTTGCCGGCGAGACTGAACCTCTGCTACGAAATGTGAGGCCGTCGAGCGACGATGGGACGACTGTCGCTTCTCCTCCCGCGGGAGAAGTTCCTGAGCTGGAAGGGTCTTCCCGGCTTGCTGGCGGCCTGAGACTCTTTAAGGGGCTTTTGACTGATTCCGTCCCAGGTCAGTGCAGCCCTGATGTTCCGCGAAGTCGCAGGGAGGCGACGCGTAAGGCGTCTTGAAAGATGTTGCTGACGTCGATCCCGCAGTGATCCTCTCGTACATCCTGCAGAATTCGATACAAACCGCGTCCATATTGATCGCTGGGCGCCTAGGTCCCAATGAGCTGTCGATTGCGGCATTTTCGTCGATGTTGGCCTTCGTTACTGGCTAGTACCATATATTTTGCGAGCATGGCACGAGTGATCCCACTTGCATTTGCTTCATTTTCTCAGGCTGGATCGTTGCGCTTGGAGGCACGACTGCCTTAGATACCTTCGGTTCGCAGGCCTTCACAGGTGGTGCACGACGTTCGGACCTTTCCATCCATTTTCAACGATGCCTTGTCCTTTTGTGGGCTCTGTTACTCCCCGTCTGCGGTATATGGGGGTTCATGGAACCCATACTGCTAGCACTAGGGCAGGAAGAGTTCCTCAGCAAAGGCGTGCAGAGTTACTTGCGGGTTTTGATCTTCGGAGCGCCGGGTTATATCGGCTTTGAAAGTCTCAAGAAATACTTACAATGTCAAGGTACGCCATCAGCTACAATACCAGCAGGAATGTCGTTAATAATACTGATGAGTTCTAGGAATTATGGGAGCTTCGACCCTCGCGCTCTTGATAGTGTCTCCTATAAACATCGCACTGAACATCGGCTTCGTTCATTACACTTGTCTTGGCTTGCTTGGCTCGCCGGTGGCGCTGTCCATCACTTACTGGCTACTATTCCTGATTCTCATCCTCATCACTCGCTTTTCCTCCACTCATAAGAAAAATGAAACGTGGGGAGGGATACAGGTGAAAGCCGCCTTAGATCCAAGCAGCTGCTTGAGATTCTACAAACTCGCATTCCCGGGCATTCTTCAAGTCGGTACAGAATGGTCAGTCCTCGTACTAACTCTCGTGCAACAATGTGCAGCTATATAACCGTTGGTCCTCAAAGGGCCGCTTTCGAGATCGTAGCCCTTGCAGCCGGACGATTGGGTCCGCTGCCACTCGCTGCACAGTCCGTAATAATGACGACAGATCAGAGTAAGGATCTTCTCTCCCGCGATTGTCTTCCGATACTGTGCTAAAGTTCGCATTCCGCAGTAATGGCTACGATCCCGTTCGGCATCGGTAAGCCTAGCACTTGTGATGCTGATTAGACTCCCAGAACTGATCTCAGATTCCGACATTGACAGGTGTGGCCGCCTCTGCGCGAGTGGGAAACTTTGTAGGCGCCCGGTCTGTCGTAGGTGCAAAGCACGCAGCCCATGCATCGGCCCTGCTAGCCGTGGTGCTCGGGCTGGTGGTTATGATCCTCTTAATTTCCACGCGCAACGTACGCCCTCGGAGAGAACGCTGCACATGAGGCCTGTTTGTCTGACAAACTATGTTCAGGTGTTCGGCTATATCTTCAGCGATGACCAAGCTGTCGTGACGCTTGTCAGTAAAGTGATGCCTCTCGTAGCGTCATTCCAGGTGGCAGATGGGCTGGCTGGGTCATGCGGAGGCGTCCTTCGCGGATTAGGTGCGACACTCTACAAATACGGAAGAATACACACAGAACGCTTCTTGACACTTCCCTTCGAATCTTTGTACAGGTCGGCAACGTGTCGGGGCGCTGTTCAACTTCGTGGCATACTACGTCCTGGCACTTCCCATGGGAATCAGCCTTGCCTTCCGGACAAGCCTGGGATTGCAGGGCTTATGGATAGGTATGGGGTAATTTGATGGACGCGGTGAACGTGTACTGATACCCGGCCCATCAGGTCAAGTGGTCGGTTTGTTTATAGTGGGCCTTGGATTATACGGCGTCGTGTGGCTGAAGACCGACTGGGAATTGGAGGTGAGGAAAGGGATCGAACGAAACCTCCAGGAAGCGAAGAGAAGGGCTGTCCTGGAGCAAACCCACGGACCGTATCATGATGAACACTGAGTACTACAGCTGTATTACAGCAGGCTCAAGCCCTGCTGTTCTCGATCTTCGCAGATCAGGTAATTACGCTTTCCTTTCTTTATTGATATTATGCCACCCTTTAGATATGTATCACTCCCTGTGCTCTTGTCAATGTACATCTAGTAACATAGGATTCCTTTGCAACTTTCGCCTCGACGGACCTTGTATAATCAGGTTCCGTAAATAGGTCATGACATCGATACGGACTTCGTGCGAAGGGTGCTGTCAAAATGTGATATCGCCACACTCGATATCCACATGATGGTATGTAGCCTTTGTCGCTGTCAGTGCTACTCTCCGAGCTATGCCTGCTATGCACCCAAGATAATGCGGTGGGTCGTCTTGCCCTCTCGAATGCCACAGTCCTGGGCCCTCTGCCACCCGGTGTGGTGTCGCGTAAGGTGATCTTCCCACGGCTGCTAGATGCCGATTGTTATGACCGGGCCAAGCAATCGGGCATCGCCTTCAGTGTCACTCGTAGCGCCGCACGACGAGGGCGCTGTCGCTGGCAACTTGCACCTTCAACCAGAACCACCATGTCCAAACTCCTCCAGAAGATCGCGGACAAGACCGTCGAAGGTTTAGAGCATGCGAAACTGTCCGTTGAAGGTACTTTAGACGCTCCGATCGCGTTATCTGTCAGTATATGTCTAACTCATGATGGAATGCAGGCATCGTCAATCCGAACCGTAAGTCTGCATAAGGGACTCGTCTGGGGTTATGGTTGGTCATTTCCGAAAATACAGGCCGTCACGATGACCCCGAGGAGAAGATGCATGACGAGATTAGAGCGCAGATCATGGCGGCCCACCGTTTCCAGAGCTTTGCGAACGAGCGATCGGAGAACTTTGTGAAGTGGTAAGCATGAGAGGCTCTGGTGGTACAAAATGGCTTCGACATAGCAAGATGTTCCAGGCACATTGACGGACATGATTACATGTACGCTGTCTCAGAAATGCTGGACAGCGCGAAAGAGTGCATCTTCATACTGGTATGATCCTGCAATTTGCCTGTTTCTCTATAAAATAAGTAACGAAATCACTGTAGGACTGGTGGCTTACTCCTGAGCTCTTCCTTCGTCGTCCTCCTTCCTATCACCCGGAATGGCGACTGGACAGACTCCTGAAGCGAAAGGCCGAAGAAGGTGTCAAAATCTATGTTGTCGTCTACAAGGAGGTTGGTGGTGAAAGTCTACGTGGCTGCGTGCTCCTCATTGACTGGGAGTGATAACAGGTGACTCAGACTATGTCCATGAGTTCTCACCACACCAAGGTGGCAGTCACTCCGTGGCTCTTGAAATAATCATTTTCTCAGGAGTCTTCTAGGTGGTCCTTGAGGCCCTTCATCCGAACATTGCGTGCATGAGGCACCCCGATCACATCGGGTCGAAAGGTATATTCGTCTGAGTTATCGTGTGAGATACCCGATTCAATTTCGGGCTGCAGACGACGTGGAGTTTTGGTCTCACCATGAGAAGGTTCGTCAAGTACTCCTACAAACAGACTAGGGCAAGTTGTAATATGCATTTTCGGTCGCAGGTCGTGGTAGTTGACAATCACAGAGCCTGCATCGGTGGCCTCGATCTTTGCTTCGGGCGCTGGGATACCAGCACCCATCCCCTTGCCGATGTTCATCCTACTGACTTTTCGCTGACCCTCTTCCCGGGGCAAGACTATAATAATGCACGCATCCTGGACTTCCAAAAGGTAGACCAGTTCGCGAGTAGCACTGTCTCCATCCTGGAAGACGCAAGGATGCCCTGGCACGACGTATGTTTCTATCCTTATATGCCAGAGAGCATTTGGCATTGAGCTGAAGCTAATACCATCGTCTTCTTGATAGGTCCACATGACGCTGGAAGGCCCCTGCGTGTTGGATATTGTGCAGCACTTCACTGAGCGCTGGAACGAAGTAAAGAAGCGGAAGGTGCGCCATACGAATAACCCTGTACTTCCATCCCCTAATAGAACTTGTCACAATAGTACAGGACCAACGAGTAAGTGGGTCGCGTGAGCGCAACGGGAGCCGGCTAAGTCGGGTTCATCGTAGGCGGTACGACTGGTTGGCGCTCCCGCACAATATTGTGGTATCCCCCAATGAACCTGTCGCTCGTGAGTGAATCCTGCTCGCACGTGAAGGCGAGGTGATATCAATGAGGGTTGCCTGCAGGCCACCCGCACCGGGAGAAATGGCATGCCATGGGACACCGCTTCAAGCAGCGGTTCCACGTGGAGGAAGGCGAACAGTTCGAAGAGGATTATACTAAACCCCCTCATGGCACGATGCGTGTGCAAGTCTGTCGGAGTGTCTCTGATTGGAGTCACGGGGTGTTGACGGAACACAGTATCCAGAATGCCTGTGCGCTTCATTGTTTATTGTTACGAAACCATCCAGTGTCGCTGACGGTGAAACTCTAATATCACTCAGACTGTCAGCTCATTCGCGAGGCCAATCATTTCATCTACATTGGTAAGCCGTATGCGGCATTTGTGCGGAGACATAAGTTGATTGCTTCATCCCGCAGAGAACCAATTTTTGTGCGTGCTATTGATTTGGGATATAAGTCCCGTCTTGAGCGCCTTCTCCGTAGCATATCGAATACTACTACCGAAGGCCCGGTGAAGAACCAGATTGCTGCTGCGCTCGTAGAGAGGATCATCCAAGCAGCAAAGGATGGCACTAAATTCAAGGTCTGAATTTGGCTTACTGCTGTTCCGATGCATGCTCACTGGCGTCCAAGGTCATTGTTCTCATCCCCGAAGTCCCTGCTTTCGCCGGAGACGTGAAGAGCGAGTCGTCACTGCAGTATATCATGGCAGGGCAATACCGCACTATCAACCGCGGTGGCCACAGTATCTACGAAGAGATCCGGAAGGCCGGATATGAGCCGTAAGCACCTATTCAGGTCTTCCATTAGTTCTAGCGCGAGATCTAATCGTCTCCGATAGTATGGATTACATTCGCTTCTATCATCTGAGGGCATATGACCGGATGAACGCTCCTTTGAGTGAGTATCTAGTTGATTGGGAGTCCTTACCATGACTCACCGGATGAAACTAGCGACCTTTATTGCGGAAATGGAAAAGAATAGCGGTGTGAAATTCCACGAAGCTCAGGTTGCTTACGCACGCCAGATCGTCGGCGACATGTCCGACGATGTCAACGTCCCTGACGCCCAGAAGACTGTCACTATTAGGATTCCCCAAGCCTCTTCCGAGGGCATGGTTATTAGCGAGAAAACTGAAGTCAAGACGGAGACGATTCCTCTCCCGAAGTCTGAAGAGGAAGCGTTGGAGATTATCAAGAGGTTCCAGAAGGGAGCGGAGCCGATACGTGGGGATGAGGATGTGTCGGACAATGTAGTACAGCACATGCTGAACGATTCGACATCTTTAATGGACGAGAAGTGGCTCGGAACGGAAGAAGAGGAACTGGCCTGGTGAGTCATACAGTACTTCAGTAGACCGGTCCGCTAACGTCCGTCAGCTACGTTTCCGAGCTCATCTACATCCACACGAAGTTGATGATTGTTGACGACAGGAGGGTTATCGTGCGTCCAGAGAAACTGCTTGATATACCTCCTCGGCTGATACGGCTCGATAGATGGGCTCCGCCAACATCAATGACCGCAGCCAGAAGGTATTTACGCTCGTCTCTACTTCCATTGTACGCTTAGTCACATTGCATTCCAGGGCGATGGCGATTCTGAAATCGCCCTTGTTGTGGAGGATGACGACATGATAAAGACGACTATGGATGGCAAACCGTACATGGCTTCGCGCTTCGCCGCAACTCTGCGTCGGAAACTGTTCAGAAGTGAGGACTTCTACCAATTTATCTACGCTCATGATCATAGTAACATCCCGTAGCGCACCTGGGCCTCATTCGACCGCAATTGTGCGAAGACCGGGAGGAAGAAGTGACCTCTTTCATGCATCCGGCTCCTATTCCAAATGAGGATGAGCTGGAGTCTGAAGAAGACCAGAAGGTCGCTGATCCACTGGCAGACGATGTTTTGAACCTCTGGAATGATACTGCCAGGAGGAATCGGGAGGTCTTCACTGAATTATTCCGACCGGTTCCAACGAATCTCGTACGAGACTGGAAGGCCTACGAGGTCCGTTGAGAAGATCTTTTAAATGCCCGTTTACCTGATGATACTTAAATGGAACACAGAACTATGTACCACGTGTGAAGACCGGTCATGTCGTTCCCGATATCCCCCTTACACGTGTCAAGGAACGTCTCTCTGAGGTGAAAGGAGGCTTGGTCGAAGCGCCCATTGTAAGTGGCCTTACATTCATACGCGCGCTAATTTATATTGCCTTGGCCATCAGGACTTCTTGATAGACGAAAAGAGTTTTGTCGAAGGCCCTGAGTGGAGAGGCCTGAACCCAACCTTGCCCATCTACATATGAGCAGCAAAGCCGAAGTGATGATATTATGACGGGGACGACGCCTAATAACAGTAGGTTCTATACGACGGTGGAAGGGCACCCAGCCCTTATGTAGATTAGCCCAGAACAGGAAGCTGAGGACGAAGACTCTGAACAAGGTGAAGGAATGGCGCGGGAAGTGATGGAAGGCAGGAAGTCTAATTCTACAATGATGAATGTCTAAGAAATACATAAGTATGCAAGTCTAAGTCTATGGTCATGAACGGGAATTGGTGCACATGCAAGTTCGGTCAAAGACATGGGAGATCATGAACGTAGCATCTATAGACTGAAAACACCACCAGCGCGACGGCGTGAGGGAACAGGATGAACAACGAAGATAGATATACCAAGACCAACAGTCAGGCCAATGGAGACCGAGACTAGCTGAAGGGCAGTTTGGAAGCCGGAGAGGTAGGACGTGGATGAGGATGAGCCGGACGTTTGTTGCGAGGCAAAAGTGAGCAGACCGCCATTGCCTAGACCGGAGGGAAGTTGGAAGAGAATACCCGTTATCTACAAGACAGTCAGTTAAACTCAAAGACTTTGCTTCGAGATGCACGGGAATAATTACCATGACTATGAAGGCATTCCCCTTGAAGAACCGCCCATATATATTTGATATGAAGCCCACTGCGAAGGCACTAATAGACAGTTAGAAGTCCGGCTAGGAATGATCGAGAACGACTACTCACCCCACAGCTGCGCTGATGTCACTCTGATTCGGGAACTTCGTGCCGGTGAAGTGATTGGTAACCCATCCACAGCAGGATATGGCCACGAGCAGATACTATACGAAGTTCCGTTAGTAGCTTTCTTACACAATTGGGGATCATACAATCCTTACCAGTTCCCTTCTGTTCCATGGTGCGTGGTTTCTTAAACTGAGGAATAAGGAATACATGGGAACAGTAAGGAATGCTAAGTGAAGTCGTCAGTCGGGCAGGCAAGAGTCTGCAAGGAAGGCGAAACCTACCCCAATAGGTACTTGGCGTCCGCTGCCACCATCCTCCATCAGGGTGATGGCTGACCGCACACGAATAGTCTTCTGGACCCAGTACACGCTGGTGCGTGATGGCCTGATAAATTTCTGCTCCGATCGCCAGACCAAAGCCTAAGAACAGGGAATACATGATGGCGAAGCAAAGGCGGACAGCTCCGGAGACGATATTACGAGAGGACAGTTCGAGAGATCCATTGAGCACGATGAAACCCTGCGCGATGTTGAGGTGTCAGCTCAGACATATCGGGAACAGGGGCAACAGTAGGCACTCACAGGCAGAATCAGTACTATAGAAGCTGAAGCAACAGCCGAATAGCAGAAGACACCTGTCGAAGCTAAAGCAGCTGACAGGAAGCTGATAAGAGTAGCAATGGTGATCCTAGTGGTCTATCGTCAGGTTAGTTCGACAGGAAAGAATGGATAGCACGCACTCAAAGATATTGCTGTAAAGCTCATTTTTGACACTAAGTAATTGGATGGCGACAAGCAATGCGCCGAGGGGCCAGCTGATCACACTATCAATGAAGCTGCCAGAGAATGAGACGCTGCAGATCGCGGACGAGCAGAAGCCTCCGATAAGAATGAGCTGCCACCAGCTGTACATGGGCTTGCGACGCATGAGCGTGTCAAGCTCTACGGAGGCATCTTTCACGGAGATGGAGTCGTGGATGACCTACATTCCGGGTCAATATCGCCACACGCAACCTAGAAATGCGGGCGACATACCTTCCAATATAAGCGGTATGCTTCACCCAATTTGTCTAGGTCCAGTGCGCTGCCTTGCCGAATTAACTTGACATTGCTCGTGCTCGTACCGGTATCGTCAAAGCTGATGAGCATGACGTCTGGCAGATACATGCAGCTAAGGTTGATATCGAGAACTTTGCCGGTTGCCTGCACCTGAGCCTGCAATCGATGGGTCGGCCCTCCAAACATCATCATCGCACGGGCAAACTTGAGGATGAACTCCTGACGCTGGATGATCTCCGCGACATGCCGTGTGATCTAATCCGCCGTCACGATGTGAAGAGATCAAACTCAAAGAACGACACTCACATAGACTTCCGCCTTCTTCCGTTTCTTGCGTTTCTCCCTCTTCCGGTCGTCGCCGGTGATGCCCATATACGCCAAAGTCTTCTCGTCTAACCACTCACTGCCGCTCTCACTTCCCATGGTCCCAATGGTCCCCGGCGTAGGCGGTTGGCTAGTGAAGCCGAGCGGACCCCATTTAGGCAGGTCCTTGAGGACGCCAGAGAACCTGCTGCCATTCCTCCTGTGTTCCTTACGTTCCTGGGTCCGAGACTCGGGATTGAACACGGAAAGAGGTCTGGCTGCATGGGATATAGCGGCTGGGGGAGAATGATCCATGGGTGTCTGAGAACCTGACGTCTGAGGAGACGACGGCATCGATTGAGATACCAGTTCCTTCGTGATCATGGGCACGGGCATAGACTTGATACTGGATGTGTCAAGCATCATAGACCGTGGACGAGATAGGCTCTTCTTAGGTTCCGCCTTGGGAAGGTCGGTTTCCAATGAGTACCTATTAGTACGCCCAATGTCAATAGACTATCCCGCAAAGTAGCCCGACAAGTGAGAGGAGGAATGCGAACCTGGAAAGATGATACCCAGGGCGCTTGATGTTCGGCGCCAGGGTACTTGCGGAGGGAGCTGCTGCACCAGAGATGTTACCCGTGCTCGCGATCAGGGATCCTATCACGCCTGCCCCATTCCGTTGCGGAGGTGGACGTGTTATCTCGTCGAAGAGCTTGAGACGTGGCATCTTCGGACTGCGGCTTGGGCTCTTTGTGGCAACTGAAGGAGGGGGTGCAGGGGCGGAAGCGGGTCCAAAGAACTGATTGAGGTGGCTATGCTCCTTGGTGTGATTCGGTTGGGGAGAGAAGTAGTCATGGGCTTGAACAGGGGGTCCTAACCCTTCAGCGCTCGAAGATCGGCTGATGGCCGCGGAGGGAGAGATACTGGTGTCCATAGACGTTCGAGTGGTAGGGGTGGATGCGCCGGATGCGTATGGACCATTATCGTACAGCGTCAGCAAAGTCGAGAGAACGCCCAATTGTTGACGCTGGGGCGATGACACGTCACGTTGCGCCTCCTTCTCAACATCTTCGTCTTCCGAGACATCCCCCGAACGTCTTTTACCTCGAACTTTTCTCTTGAAACGACTCCAGACACCGGTCTTCCCGGCGACTCTAGAGCTCTCTGCCTCCTCGACGTCTCTAACGTCGTCTTCGTCGATTTCTTCCTTACCTCTGCCACCGCGACTTCTGAGCTGCTTGGGATTGAATCGACGAGTATGGGCTCGAACGACATCAGACGCTCGATTCCATGCCAGCTTCTCCATGTTGCGGCCAGGAAGGCCCTCCGTTTCTGTAGCCTCTATGATAATCTCCCCGGGAATGGAGCGGGTAGGAGAGGATGAGGCTGTTCCCGGCTGCGTCTCGGGCGAAGAGGAAGAGCCGGGCGTGTTGCTTTGATTTGTGCTGCTTTGGCCAGTGTGGCCCTCATTCATGTACGGAGCTGTGGGGGGTATTAACAAAGAGGGGCGGGGTCTTGGTAGGTTGCCATTAGAAGAAGAGCGATGACGCTCAAGCTTGTCGGCGAGCGCCTCGAATGCTTCCGACTGATAGAATGGCGAAAGTTCATCAGTTATCGCGTCCGGCGAGCCGAAGACGCGTAAAATCGCGCTTCACGGAGGAAAGAGGCAATACTTACGTCCAGTGCATGCTCATCCAGTGCCCTAGCTTTCATTTCAGCTTCCTGCTCTTCCTGCTCGCGCTCATCCTTCCATTGGACCTTCCTAGGGGTTTTGTTACCAGACATGCGAGCAGTCCCGCCAGCAGGTCTGTCCTTGTCCCTGTGGTGAGCGCTCGCCGCCACCGTCGAGTCGGTGGCCGAGGTGGCCATTACACTTTCTATAGAGACATAGACACGAGAAGATGAGCGGCTGCTCATAGAGACGTGGAAAAAGAAAAGAAAGAGGAAAGGAAAGACTAGGACGGAAAGGAGGGAGGGGGGAAAGAGCGTAGGGAAAGGAGAGGCTTACAGGGCTGCGGGTTGCGTGTTTTATGTCAAAGGTAGCGAGAAACGGTCGCGAGGCGAGAAGGGCAGGGACAAACAAGAGACAAAGCGGTGTTTTGCGCGGGATGGGCACGAATGAGGATCGTCGCGGTGATTGTAACTTGGACACCAGCCAATGGCGAGTATCCGAAGGACTCTAGAACGTCGCAAGGACCCGCTGGTAAAATCGTTATCGTGGATGGATGAGCCGAAAGTACGCCTGAAACCAGCGCTTGGGCTTGTGTACAATTGGATGGTATTGGGAACTCGAGAAGGGTCCCTCGAAAGGCAGTTTCGATTCTTATGAATTCTCCAGAGGTGGCTGCATGCCGAGCGCAGCCCGCCCGCTCGTCCCACGGGATGTCTTGGACGTGGAGCGGACCCTTCGCCCTCTTCTTTCTGCACGAACCGGGTACCGGTCCAGATCGACGTCACCCTTTTTGGAATTTTTAGCCTGCTGCATCAGCCTGCGTGCCACGTGCGCCACGTGCATCTGGCCGTATCAGGTAATATGCGGTGCGGCGGTTCTGCCTTTGGGCGAGGCAATTGGATCATGCACCGACTCTAGGTCTTTCTACCGCTATCGGTCAGTCTCGACTCCTTGAAGATTGCAGCTGAAGATGCGCACCGGTTCTGTCAAGATGCGCAAGACCCTCGGATGAGGGGACTGTTATTTCGAGGTATGATACATGACGCGGGATGGAGACCGGCGAACCTGCCGCAGATGCGTTGTGGAGACTTCGGTGAATCGCATCCCAGATAGATGGAGGTCGACGGCGATGATCCCGAGAATGTGTTATCTTAATGAACACGTTCTCCCCGTTCTGCGCAGCGCATCTCTATTTTGGGTATGTTCGACTCAGTGCAGTGGTGTAATAATAGTGACTTACACGGGGTAACTGCTATGAAAGGACGTCTATGTCTCCGCCTGATACAACAGCTGCGAGGTTATATCCAGCGCACGCCGTGTACTCCAGGCACCAGAACCTCGCTCCCCTTCACCAAAGTTTGCAGGGCTCTCGGCGAGTAACTAAGTCCAAGGACGGGACAGACGCAGATCAGCTGGGGACGATCGGACGTAAGCAATGCTTCCCCTTGCGCTCACGGCAGGCGTCCTTCCCCTGTAGATCGACTCACGGAGGCAACAGGAGGCGAAGTCTTCTCCGCGAACATGAATTGTGGAATACTTCCCGATGTCCCACCCACCTCGACGTCGCGCATCGCGGGATCTGGCAGCTTGGTGGCGCTTTGAACTGCCACCAATTGACGCCTTCCTGCTGCGCATCCGATCCTAAATCAAGGCCCAGCGCTGTTACGAGTGAAGACGTCATGGGCCGCCTAGTCACTGAGCCGGTGGAGGGCAGGACTGTGTGGGATTCATTTAGCTGGTGCTTCAGCTCCCGAGCAAGTCTAAGGTATGCGACGCGCCGAAACACGTACACACTCTCCACCCGTCTGTGAGTAGCTCACAGGCATTTGTAGAGAAACTTACCTTACTGCAGGAGACTTCCCGATGGTATCGTACTCAAAGATGTCTTCCTCCTGCGGTACATCTTCCGAACCCTAGGACCTGCTGTAGATCCCCATGTTCGACACCGTTCTGTTGCGAGCATCTCGTCGCTCGACTCGAAGCCAATGAGGGACGCTATTTTACCTCAAAAGAAGCCTTCGCACCTGCCGGAAGGCACAGCTGGGAAAGTTTCCCGGGAGGTCGCGTCTTCAGGTAGCACATTCGTTTATTAAATGGGTGCGACAGATGAATGCACTCAACTGTCGGCCTGTTGGAAGGGTGTACGTAGGTATGTGATTCGGACCGCTGGACGTTGGTTGTCAGCCCTCTGAAACAATGGAAGGTGGAAGACTTCGGTTCCTGCGTCCCATATGCCACGGCACCTGCATGACGGCGTAAGTGGAGCAAAGTTTACATTCGAGCTTGACAGCATTCAGTCCGAAAGTGCCCGAAGCCCGAGGGTTGGAAGGCAGCGCGGGTTACCGCAGGTCGACGAGATTCACAGCGGCGAGTTCTTGGAGAAACAGCCTCCGAAGGAATACAAGCTCGAATCGATGAGTTCGATGATCTGACCGATACCTCAGACTGTGTATGAGCCGCGTAAGTTCCTCTCATACACCAGTCCGACAAATTGCGATGATACTCACCGAAGTGAGACACGCCCATCTGACTTTGGCCGCACTTCTCTGGTACGCAACAAAGTATAATCTAGCATATAGCAGGTACGTTGACCGAGGGGTGTCCGCAGGATGTCGTCGTATTGTGACTGGCCTCCTGCTCCTACGACTTTCCTATCTTCTCCCAATATACCTCGCTAACGCGGCATATGTACCGACTTGATTACATTAGCGCGGGAACTTGAGAGGAGCCGTAGCACTCACGGCGCATATATGCAGCCTTAAATGTCGTGTACAGCGTCACAATGGGGTATTCTACTTCTGAAAAGTACGTTGCCTCGTCGCACTGGCGGTCGTAGCACTGGCGGTCGTGGCGCTTGCGGAAGAGCGTCGTCGTCTCTTGAGCTCATTTGCTTCCCCTGTACCAGGTCTAGACTAGGTTGCACACTCTCCTGCATCGATGAGCGAGATGAAGTCTGAAGCTGCACGCCTCCGGCGTCCATGAGATGCAGCGCTGTCGGTGAATTGCTCACAGCAAAAATATATTCATGACGCCTGACAAATTCTGTTTTCTTCTCCGAGAATGCGAGCTTGTGTTTCCATCATTAAGACACTGCGTCTTGTTGCCCTAGTCTTCTATCCCGTTCTAACAAGCACAGCGCTGTCGAAGCTGTCGCGACGAAGTGCGGGGTAGGAATGCGGGGAAGCATGAGAAGTCGCGGCTACCCCGCCTTGAGGGGTAATTCATTCTCCGACTTCTGCCGTCCGCCTTACTGTACTTAAGTTGTACGCTGTTGTACGGCTTGCCAAAACTGGATTCCTGCACTAGAAGCTGCTCTGAACAGCCTCTGTGTGAAGCTCGGACAGTAGATCCTGCGTTCGGAGGAAGAGACGAGCAAGATAAGACTTCTGCACATGAGGCAGAATGCTCACATCTGTGCGTTCCCAGAAATCAGATTATCAGTGTTCATCGTATAAATATCTCTCGCTGAGAGAGTCTTGTAGACCAGTTGTACTACAAACTGGGTTGAATGCAAGGGATACGAGAGTCCCCGGCCTTGTCCCGACCAGGTTAAACTAAATACGTGCGCGATACTCGGCCGTGTATCCCTGGTATAGGATTCAGGGTAAATCTGCTGTTAATGAGGTTGTACGTGTTCGCGCTTCCTGCTGCACGATTACTGAGTTTTTTCTTCTAGGAACTCGATTCGTATTTGACCACGAGAACCCGGAACCTGGGGACGACGTCCTAAACAGGTCCGACCCAACGGAGACATGGAGCACCAAGGTATCCCTGGGATCAAGGCTGCTGTCCCTCGGGGTTGCTCCTGGATCAATCTCAATCATGAATTCAACTTTGGATGATCCCTCACTCGAAACTGCCTCCGCCAGACCCAGGCACTTCATATACACCAAATGCAGCCTCTACCGCACAAAGGGTACTTTCTCTATCGATTGATTCACGTCATGATAGGCCTGGCAGAGTATCCTGCTGGGATACCAAGGACACCACTTGAAACGTCCTACTTATTATCCGCTAGTACTGTACCATGGTATGTCCGCTCCTGTGTAACCACCTCCTTCAACATACCTATGACAGGCTATGAGATACACCTTAATGACCGCAGACTGCTGCTTCGCGTCCACAGCCGTGGGCTCAACGCCACAGGCGCGTCGCGGTGGAGTTGCCAGTTCCGGGCAAGTATTACTGGCCTTGGGCAAGGTCATTGGTAGTGTGCGTTCCGTATCTCACTATTTTACATGTCAATTGCATAGTTCTGGACAGTCGATCTGCTCCCATATGTCTTCGACATTATATTATAATTTAATCAAGTTTCGAACTGATTGTACCCACGTGGTCAGCACGCGGTGCTAATATAACGCGTCGCGCGTCGTGCAGATACGCGCCTACTATTTCAGTTGCACCACAATCCACGTTTTCCCCCTTTGTTCTTGTCTAGTACCGCGAGACTGAATAACTGGGCTGTGAGATGACGCCGCTCACTCGCAACGGCTTGAAGAGAAAACAGGAAGACGTCTCGCAGAGCGCAGAACACAATAAACAAGGAAGCTCTCGTCGTAAACTCGGACCTGCTGGTACGTCACATCATGATATGATCCTCCTGCCTCTATTAAGTACAGCTGTGCACATCGTGTACGACTCGATTCTGCAGCACCTGGAATAAAGGGGTGGGTCACAGCTTTGTTTAAGACGTGTTCACAGCAAACCAACCACAGTAACCACTTTGTCTCTGAAAGCGCGTCTGAGTCTACTCTCCACGAAACAATGCGTACTCCGGCGAAAAATGAACATCTGAAAGGTAGAAGGAGGTTTATGGCCGATGTGAATGATATGCAAGAAAGGAGTACGGAAGGGTATGTCCTCAGGGGACTTCGGCTTGAACGTGCGTGGCGTGTTGCACAACTTCAGCAAACGCTGGAATCGCCTGATATTCCTATGCCAGGGTTCAACCATGGCGACGAGGAAGGATTGTTGCAATTTAGGCTCACGAGAGATGGCTGCGATGTCCTAGCAGCAACGCTTCTTGTGTCCGGCGAGTCCTGGTTCATGTGGCGTCATCGCATCGGCTTATACTGTGCTGCACAGACCCGTCTGAGTACCCAAAGAACCACATCTTCTTTGCTTCCTCTCCAAGTCCTGACACGGAATATGGAGCTATCCTCGAGGAAGTATCTTCTTGGGAATCCCGCACTATTGAAGAGACCGTAGAGAAACTTACGAGTCAGGTGGCTAGACGGCTCGATGCTGCGCACCGAGGTGATGATATCTCGGACGAGGACACGGATCTCGACGAAGAGTTCCAGGAATATGAATCTATGGACGAGAGCTTCATTCATCCTACCAAAACTTTCACGAAACAGTCCCTCCAACGGTCAGTCCAAGCCTCCCGAAACTCGTTCTTAAGAAGTAATAACCTTGTTGCATTGATCAGTGATTTTCTCGAAGTGGTAGCGTCGGATTATCGACCAGGCATCTTGTGCAGCGAAACCAGCGAATTCATCCTCACGGTGTCAACCCCCGTCGTAGCTTTGAACATCCCAGGCAGAGCACTGATGGCTTGGGACCGCCGTCTGCTGTCTAAGTCGCAGCGCCTCACCCTCGTCATTGCGGGGTTCCAGGGAGTGTATCCCCCGCTGACGTCTGAAGGGGATTATCGGCTGCCTCTACGGACGGGTGCGCTCAAGTTCAGAGTGGGCTTGACGAAACGGTACAAACCCGGCAAGGAGCAAGCTCAGGACGCCGTTCGAGAATACGCCTTGGTCTCCAAAGACGAGGAGCCTGAGCAGGATCCAACCAGTGTTGATAGCGATGAGGATGGGACAGCGGACGAGTGTGCGCCTCAGACGTTGACTTCTGAGCCTGTGTCTACCGGTGGTGAGGAAGACGAAGGGAGATTCGACAAGTTCAGCCTCAGCGAATCGCTCGATTCATTGATGAACCACACGCTGATGCGAGTCATCCCCCTTCGACTCAAGTTCGGACTGGGGTGGGCAGGGGCTGAGTCGCTTCTAGCGGAGGTGGAGAGATCCCAGCGGAGGGCAGAAGATGTGTATTCCTCCATGAAAACGGTGTGTCCATAGTGCGATGACCCATGATCTGAACACATTGACTCGTGACTAGGTTTTGATTGCTGCAGATAAAGAGGAAAGACAGCTAGCCGAATCATACGCCTTTCCCTCAGATCCTCTATTAGCTCGTGAGGATAGCAGCCACATCAATTTGCCTTTGGTCGCTTTCTCATATCTGGTGCGGCGGTTGATGGTAGGACGAAGCCATGCATTCCTCGTATGATGCTTACCGTTCCTCTATAGCTCTGTACCCGGTACTGTCTCGTATGCCACAATAAGCTAAACGTAGACTATGAAGCTCTCAAACCCTTCGTTTGCGACTCCCAACTGTGCGGCTACCAGTACTACCTCCATAACAGAGGCCCATCATTGGAGGTGTGTCTTCGCTTATAAAATAGCCTGAGGGCTTGTAGCTCACTCCGACGTCAAGTATGAGATCTGCACTAATCCTGCCTCGGTCGATCTACTCTTGTCCCTCACTTACATCGCAGCAGCGGAAGGCGTGTTGGAACAGCCGCTGCCTACAGGTCTCGGGCTACGGGTGCCTAAACCCGTGGCAAAAGGAACGGGACAAGTAGCAGTCGGTTCCAATAATACTGGAATACATTTGCCAATGACCGGGGTCACGGCCGCACCTATCATGGTACCGCCCGTCCCTGAGGAAACTGGGCTACAGGCCACTGCTGGCGACAGCTTGGATCTCGTAGACTTCGACACGCTGAGTCTTCAGGAGGTGAGATAACGATGATTATGGGTCTCCGTGTAACGCGTATGCTTACTTCCTGCAGATGTGCACAAGCATTGTCCGGCTAATTGACAGCCTACCATCGGTACGCCCTATTCTGGGTCATCTATGCATACCTTCTAACGCCCTTGCATGCGACAAGGTGGATGACATGAAACAGCACCTTGAGAAGAAAGTGAAAGTAGGGAAGGCGAAGCCAAAGCTGAAGGATATAGACCCATCCATCCTTCCAGCAGCTTGGTCGGTCGTGAGATGGTGCGTCGGCTCAGACGAACGAAGTTTATACCCTTCCTGCCAATATGCTGACCTTGCTGAAGGTGTGTGGGATCGTGTACTGCTCATTTGGAAGAAATCACGTCCAAAGAAGACATGGTTCAGAACATTGGTGCGTTCGCGTGGTTGCTTCGGGAGTATCTGGAAGGGCTGATGCGCGAATTGGTAGGTATTGGCTGGAAGCAATTCCGCTTCAGCGTCGGCGCACCGGATGCAGAAGCTAAGTTTCGGGCCGCTTTGCGAACAGCGCAGGGACAAGATCGGAACGCCGTATTATATCCGTACCTTTATGTATGTTCGACCCAGATTTTGCCAGGCATACTGACGACTCTCCTCGTTCAAGGCATTCCATGGCTCGCCTGCAAAAAATTGGCATTCTGTGCGCGTCCTCTGTAATATGAAGATCGTCTCGCTCATTATCTTACCAGATTATACGGCATGGTCTGTGGTACAAGACAATTACCCATGGACGTGCTTACGGCCACGGTAAGACTCATAGCTGATTGGATGGTCGTGATGCCTATCGTCATCGGGCCACCCAGGCGTCTATTTTGCCAAGGAGGGAGAAACCTCGACAGCGACGTATGCACAGCCAACAACCACGGCTTGGAAAAACAGCAGCATAGCACCTTCGAACTGCGCAGCTCTGGCCGAAATCGTCAACTTGCCCAGTCAATTCACGAGTGTAGCTCCATATCTTGTGGTTCCACACACGCACTGGATCGTCTGGTAAGGCTTGCTCGCCTGTTTTCTGCCTCTGATGAACATATCTCTGTTAGTCGGTACTTACTTGTCAAGGGACGATCGAACGAAGAGGCAGAAATCATGGAAGCGGACAACAATCCTACGATACCACTAGTCAAGTTGGACCCGCAACATCCGCTCACCATGCATAGGCAGAAGATAGCAATTCCTGATCCATCGTATAAAGTCGATGCCTTGTTCTCGCAACGAATGCAAGAAATTGGTGAGGAGGAGAACGATGAGGAGGACAGTAGTATCTTCCTTGCGTCCGAGACCAGCCGAGCAAGATCACAAAACCCGATAGACGTCGACATGGACGTTGATGACGACATTATGGCTTCGACGGATGAGTTTCAAACGAGGCCTGTGGATGATTGGAAACACGACCCAGAATGGGTCGCGTCTTGCGTCCAACACTTGATGCCACCCCCAGTCGAAGCTACTCCTATGGCGACCGTCTCCATTCAGCGGGAGTTGAAGGCCATGTTGAAGGAACAAGAGAACGCTAAGAGCCTCAGGGAACTAGGATGGTATATGCCCCCAGAACTCATCGGAGACAATTTATTCCAGTGGATCGTGGAATTGCATTCGTTTGAGAAGACTCTTCCTATTACGCAAGATATGGCTGCTAAGTACGTATCTCAGGGCACTTGAAGGAGCCTTCGCTAATGGGAGGGCTAGAGGCATTAATTCACTTGTCTTTGAAATACGATTCCCTCCCGCTTTTCCTCACTCGCCGCCATTCTTCCGCATCATCAGGCCACGGTTCTTACCCTTCGTCCATGTAAGTGACTTGTCACACTGGATGGACTGTTCATGTTTACCACGTTTATTGAAGGGTGGCGGCGGCCACGTTACGGGAGGTAAGCCCGGATGATCTTTGCCGCATAAACGATCGCTCATGGACAATATAGGAGGCTCGATGTGCATGGATCTGCTGACAGCTGACGGTACGTCCGCAGTGCTGAGAACATAACTGCTTCAGCGGCTCAATAAGCACCTCAAGGGTGGCTTCCAAGCTACAGGTACTGTCTCTACATAATACACCCTCTATAATACTTATCAATGGACACTAGCATATCCTCCGTCCTCCTGCAAATACGGCTCGCTATTTCGAACCTAGACCCCCGGCCTGCTAGGCTTGACGCACGTTGGACTATGTAAGTGCGGTCGAGCCATTTGGGGATTCAAAGTTATTCAGTGCTGGTATCACAGTCCATATGGAATGCAAGAGGCGCTCGAAGGTTACAAGAGAGCTGCTGCCACTCATGGTTGGAAGGTACGTACTAGCTGTATCGGCGACGACAGTGTTCTGATCCTTTGTCTCTAGATCCCCGCAGGGCTGGAAAGGCTGGTCCAGTGATGCTCCACGATCGATATATCTGGGTCATGACCCATTATAGTTAGTGTTGCGTAGTGCGTGCTGATGCAGGATTTCGATGGCTTGACCTACCCGATGTAGTATAGTCGTCGGCCCTTCGATTCCCCAATATTCGACTGTCATGACTTCGGACTCGGTGTGTAAGCACTGAGCAGCGCGTTATGACCTCTTCAGCCCACGAATTCTTCGCGGCTGCCGACTACCGCGGCATTACTGCTACCACCGAACATGATCGGAGTCAAAGTGATTCCGAGAAATAGAACTACAACGAACTATTCTACATACAATACAATATTAATGCAATACAGATCAGGCACCCAATGTTGGGACGACATGTCGAAGGTGCGCAGGCACCAATTCCGGAGGTAACTTTGCGATCTTGTCTAGGGGCGCCCGCTTCGCCAACGCCAGTAAGCTCAGCCTAACCTTCCTCGCCACAGGGTCCTCCGTTCCATCCTGTCCGAGACTCACTGAACCTGTCTCCTTTCTTCTTTGCTCTAGCTCGTCGAATAAGCTAGTCACGGAATCGAGAGCATACTGATAGACCTCTGGTCCTTCCGACGCAGGCAATGCATCGCTTGTCGAGATGGTTGCCTCCTGATGATTTTTGATGGCAAAAGCGAGATATTCTGCCGCATTCCTCCCCGGTTCTTCCACCAATTTTTTCTCCTTCTCATCCTCTTCTTTCTGCAATAACTTTTCCCTGTAATTAGCACCGACCCACTCCGACTCTGCGACGAATAACTCATTCGGAGACCGGATTAGAGAGGCCATATCGATGGGATATGATACGACGGAGCGGAGGAGAGAGAGTGCTCGACTGGCGTGCGGATAGACATTGACAGATCGAGGGACCTGCTGCGCAACCTCGGAGGACACGGATGCTTTGGGATTTGACAGCCGAGAGACCGTCTCGCTGAGAAGGCGGTGTCGCCCACCAGTGAGAGGGTCAATGATATGCTTCTCGACGTACGCCGCCAGAGGCATGCCTAGAGCAGACTCCGAAGACACGGAAGGCTGTGAAAGACTGTGTTCAGGATATACATCCGGACGTATACCGACAATACTCACTCTCTCGGCTTGACTCGTTGTAGATGTTACGAATTCAGCTACACTCCTCAGATAAGCCAGCCCTTCAACGCCCCCGTAGACAATAGCCCGGAGGATTTCCTGGGCCTCGGCAGCTTTACTTCTATCCCAATAATCATCTCCATTCCATCCGTCTGGCACACTTCCATTGGTGACCGGAGAGCTGCTGGACGCCTGCAGGCTGGAGTGTATAGCACCTTTTACTTTCTGTTCAGAGTTCAAGACAGCGGTGGAATATCCACCAGTGCCCCTGGTCCGCATCTCTTCCTCTAGCTTCCCGAGTAGCACTGAGAACGAACCGTAGTCCAGTGCGTGAGCTTCTCTAGGTTCCGGGCCTGGGGCGGAATTTGTATCGTCCTCCTCACGTTCTTTACCCCTCCCACGACTGTATGCATTGCGGTTGACCGTCCAGTGCCGTCGTCTGGGCGGGACCGGAGGGGTGAGAAGTGACGGGTCGATCGACGGCATGGGTTTCTCCAGCGGCAGATTGACGGGAGCTACGTACGGCACATGCGTGGAGTCTGAAGTGGCCGGCGACGAATACAAAGGCATTAATCGGGGAACCTCGAGTGGCTCCGGGGCGAATACGGATAAGGCAGAGAACGGTTCGTCCACTGCTGACTGCCTTAGCAAATAGATCCGGAGACGGGCCTGGCAACCAGAACTCACTCTCAACATAGTCTAAGCTCCCGTCAGCAGCAAACGGTGGTCCGCCTTTCTCCAGCCTTAGGCGCTCTTTCTTCGTCCGCTTCTTCTTACCTGCATGCCGTAGATTTCAGCATGACTCGATACCTTGATGAAGGTATACACCGTACCCTTCAATTTAAGGCTCAGCATCAAAGCAGCCCAGTCACTCCCATATGGGAACGCTCCAAGTCCGTCTTTCGAACCAGGCAGCCTACCTTCTTCGTCAATGCTCTCAGAAATAGTACCTGGAGCTTGAGGTACCTTCCGCCTGCGTCGTGACGGGGCTGGTGTTGCGGCGGCAGAGGTCACCGACGGTGACGGGGCGTTCGTGGCTGTACCGTCAATATCCATGGGCGTACCTCTGTCCTCATCACCTACGGGATGCACAGAATCCTCCCGCTCGATGTCGATATTCCAGTCTGCTTCGTGTTCGATCACTGAAAGGCGGGCCTTCTCGATGTGCTGCTCTCCCCATGCTTCGATGCGAGCAGCTTCGATGTGGTGGATTGTCCCCGGGGGATTGAACGTTTTCGCATTGTTCGTAACGAGATGAAAATCGTTCTGCGTCGATAGTTATACTTTTGACGACATTCAAGGAGGGGGTCGAAGGTTCAGTACTCACAGAAAATTCGTCGAGTGAACGATATCTGCCTTTGTTGACTTTCTCGGTCATGGTACCGAAGTCCATCGGCTGCTTAATCACATCTCTGTAATTAGGTACTTGGACTTCATCGACTGGACGCAGGAAGAACGCGTAGTCGTCCTTTCTATGTGGGTAGAGAAACATGTAATTAGCGTCCTGAGCATTCGCCGAGCGGACTCAAGGGCGATATTCCGTGCCATGAGCCATATCATCGACCTTGTGAATAACGCGCCAACTCGAAAAAGACTCACTTCTTAATCTGAGCAATCAGCTTAGCCAACACCTCCTTCAAAGGCTTGAGTTTGACCGGTCTTGGAGCCTTTCTAACCCCTTCATCCTGAACGAACGTCGACCCCTTGGATTTCTTTCCCCTTTTCAGAGGTTTAACAGCCTTCAGCGGCGGTAGAACAAGCTTAATGCCAGACCCGGACGGTCTTGAAGTTGCTTTATTAACATCGTCGGCGCCGACCGCATCGATGCCGGGGTCGGGAGAGGAAGACGAACTAGAGCTCATCCTGTAGCAAGACCAAGGAACATACGGAGGCGCCGTCCGGTATCCGGCGTCACCGGAACATTTACTATTTTAGTCGATAATGCATACGTAAGCATGATTTGATATTCTTAACCCTAGAAAGATGCAAGTCGGTACGCTGTCGGTACACTGGCAAGCTTCAAGTCGGGGTAAGTGTAAGTAGTAAGTACGCCAGCACATAATTTACTTCTGGAACTTCCAACTGTCGGGTCAAATACTTGTACGTTCATGTTATCCCCCGAAAGCCGGGTACTCTGCGATAACCCCCATTGGCATTAACTGCCCCCCCCCCCCGGCCCGCGCTCCCCTCCGACGCCTTTGCGCATGGGACTCGCAGACGTGACGGCACCGAGAAAGGACACTTGGTTAGCACTTATCCCCTTGATATATCTCCCTCATGGTGTTTTACCCTTTCAGACAGATTTATACCGACTAGTTGGAAGTAAATATTAGGAACTCCCCCTGTGTCAATGGCAGATATACATATTCTCAGGAATATGCGGAGCTCGAGCACAGGCATTTATGTCGCAGGGATTTCTTATTGTTTTTTGACGGCGCTTCTCTCTTTTTGTTGTCTCCTTAGGCTTGTACCCTGTGCCGTATCGCGAGAAGGACGTCTGCAATTCGGGGTCTCCTTATTTTAAGTATCGCTATGACGTGACAAATATGGGAGCCAAATCGGTGACGTTTCATGTACATGCTCTTCCTCGTATCACCAGAACTGAGCTTTCTGCCCAGGCCGTAATTCAATGGGAAAGTTGCGTAGTCGTCCGCCCTCCCCGCGAGAACGCTATGTAGTCCAGTCCCGTGATGCCTGCCTAAGGCGAGTTCAAGGCGGGTTTCAAATGAAATACGACAGATTAGATTGCTGGCAGAAGGTGGGTTCAATAGTCTCGATCCTGGTCCCTTTTTGCACCTCGAGTCTAATTTCAAACCGCGCTTATTGTCTATACCTCTAGGTTTCCGCTAACCCTGATCCTCCGTAGTATCAGACGGCACATTTTACTATAAAATATGGATCCTCGACTTCCCGAAGGGGATTGCCTGGCTTTGCCTCGGTCTCCTGGATATAACGGGTTGCCACTTCTGCGGAGGATTATCATCTCTAGGTTGGGTCAGAACCTGGATATGTATTCGCCGAGGAATGACTCCACTCGTGTGGCTTTTTTTTTGTATCGGCGTCGGTCAGATCCAGGACGTGTAGGTACCGCTGCAATCGGCCTTTACAGAGACTGAAGATCCGATTTACACACTAGGACAAAATCCTGAAATCCCAAGGATGTGGTTCGGCTTATCCTGCAACTCTGGCGTCACTCGCCCGAAAGAAATTCCCGAGCGCTTTCAAGGTCCCCACCTTCCTTTCAAGTCTCTGTGAGCCTTACTTGCGGCTCGATATATCGTCGTGAGACAACGCCTTGCATCATAGCGAGCATCTTCGCTCCGTCTTCCGGTCGGTGGTTTCTTTCTGCGTGATACCCTTCACCTAATCAGGCCATCTCCAGTGATGAGAGTCAGATTATATTGAGTAGTGCGGTCGTAACCATGCACCACGCGACCAGCTTTACAATATGCGATCCTATTTATGTCTGGCTCTGGGCATAGTGGGCGTGCCCCCTCCCGGGCCCTCCGTATAGCAACATCGATACAGGATGGTCCGTATAGCGACTCCGATAAGCCCATCTGCGCTGACGGTAACGACCCAAGCGTTCACATCCACTCGGATCTGCATAGTAACACGAGGCTACCGTACAATGGCCAGACTGGCCGCTGTTGACGTTGCTCTCAGATCCTTAGCCAGAATTGCTATATAAAGCAAGCATCACCTTCTCTATACACTGAGAACTCCCAGTTGATGGGGAATCTTGACCACACCATTCGACGCCGGCTCCGGTATCCCATTTGAAATTACCCCATCCGGCAATTGACACCGTACATATCGTTGGCCGACGGATGCTGTCACGACAATCCGCCCAACAACGGACGTCTCGTTGATCTCACTACTCGGTATTTACGTTCGTATGGCATGCGCGGAGTTAGAAATCGTCAGTGCTTGCTTCCTGCCCCTGAGTAAACAGGTGCGCCATGACAGTCGTCCCGTTGCTATAACTCGCGAACTTGTTTGGCGACATATTGCGCGCAACCGTTGCCTGGTATCAGTCGTCGTACTGGCTATTTCTCGGGGAGCTGCTGTGGCAACAGGGGACCTAGGCTTTCTCATATCCAATGTTGGGGACATTACAAGCTACTCTCAGCAGCTTTCGTGTTCAAAAGCGGTGTCTGAACGTTATTCGAGCGTTAGTCACACCAGATCCAGCCGTTGTGTGGGACCAATATTCGGTGGTAAAAATATTAACCGCCTACGAAACTCGCAATGGACAGCCGCGCAGAATCTTTGCTCACGTTAATTAATTTGCATTATTGTAGCGACGTTCTCGAGAACGCGTATCGGTGGCCTGAGCCGTTGCCGGGTTAATTCCCCCGAGCTCAATGAAAGGACTTCAAGCCGATGCGTATAGACTCTTGGTCTCTTTTCGTTCCCTTCCTCCCCCTTCCCCCGGCGCATGCGCCTCAGATGCCCTGAGGCTACGTTTTCGTTTCTGATTCTGCTGTATTTCTTGTTACTTTGCTCATAATTACCGGATGTCTCGCTCACCGTCCTCTACACCGACGCCTAATCCATCTAATCCATCTGAAGCTACAGATACACAACATTCTTTCGACTTATTCGCAACTTCACGAGAATCACACGAACATAGTCCTGCCGAAGCGTCGAGGCAGACACGAGCACCAGCACGCCAACCCGTTTCTACTACAGCGGACGCAAAACCTCGGGCGGAATCTAGCCAAAGCGTGTCTGGTGGGCGCGGGGGGAAGAGAACGAGAGCAGAGTCAGAAGAGTTGCCTGGGGGTGTCACTAGAAGACCAAGGATGTCGAGTCCTTCAGGGTCATCCTCGAACTCGCAGGCGGATCTGGCGGACACGGAGCATGAAGGGGGTAGAAATGAGCGGTCTGAGAGATCACCTTCAGACACACTTCCTCTTAAGAAGAAGCGTACAAGGACCCTCACGACTCCGCATCAATCTGCGGTTTTGCATGCACTCCTGGCCCAGGTGCGTAATGTACCTGAATTGCGAGCGATCCTGACTTCCTACCTACTCACAGTCACGTTTCCCTACGACTGCCATGCGTGAAGAAGTGGGTCGCCAGATAGGTTTGAGTGCAAGGAAGGTCCAGGTATGTCCCACCACAGACGATCCCCTCCTAGCTCATTCTCAATCATGTTATAGATATGGTTCCAGGTGAGTTTGAATGGTTTTACAAACCACGACACATCTTAAGTAAGTACCAGAACCAACGCCAGAAAGCCAAACGACCCCGAAGTCAAGCCGCCACCCCTGTGGCAAGACCTCCGCAGTATGGGCCGTTCCCCAACGTCCCAGGAGCCCCTTCAGCGTCTGTGGGTAACTCTGCTTCCTTTCTGACGTTTGGGACCGCAAGGCCCGAACCAGGAGGTGTGAGTCCGCAAGAAGCCGCTCCTAGTAGTGCTTCGAGCGCGGGGTCGGAGCAGTCTAGCCAGCGATTCGCAGTTGAGTCCCCCTTCCTTGGCCTCGGCTCGCAGTTATCCGGGCCAGGAATCCCTGGTCCTGCCTTTCCTTCGATCTCACCCATCAGAGGCGGGGAGACGGCGAGTCGCCACCGACGGTCATCCCGACTATCACAGTCTCTTGATAGCACCCCATATTTTCTGCAATCTAGCCTACATTACTCAGGTCGTCCGGTCTCTCGCCACCCTATCTCAGTCCCTGCCCCGGTTCCGGACAGAGAACATCCTTATCCTATAGACCCTTCTTTGACTCTCCCGCCTCTGACGTTCGACCGACCTCCTAGTCACCTTCCCCGAACGATGCCTCCAGGGTATCCTTTATCAAGATTCGAGCGACTCCCTAGCTCGGCCCCATCTACCATGACATCCTTCGACTTTGCCCGCACGACATCTACGCATGATCCGCCGTTCGCTCACGTTCCCCCTGACGTACCCGGGCCGTCGCTCTCTATCATCCCTCCGCCCTTCGCACTGCAACCCGCGCCGCAGTGGGATCCCGACACATTTTCACCTCTTTCTCGCCCAGGTTCGTCGTCGGTGAGCCGCCCTGGTAGCTCGTACTACTATACTGAGGGCCGCACATCTCCCCTCGACACTTCCAGTCAGCAGCCCTCAATACATACGGCTCCGGGACAGCCTGTCGCGAGAGACGAGGGGTCTTCCAATGGAGAAAGCACGCCACAACCTCCGCTGCGCAGTACAAGATTTGACCCTGTCCGATCTTCTGCGCTCTCTTACACCAGCGTACCTACTCCGGAGACCCCCTCGAGTCCTACCGCTCGTTCCCATGAACGTCCTGCTGACGACTCTCCACCCGAATGAGAACGAAGTCAATAACGCCCGCCGAGAAGGGGACTGGCGGTATCGCCCCAATCATGACGATTCTATGTCTTATCACGAACATATACGTATAGTATCTCCTTAATGTGTAATTCTGGGCCTTACCCGTGTTCTGTGCTCATCTTCACTCTTTTGCATGCCTCTCTTTCGTTCGTCACTCGCTTCGCGGTCTCCGTTATACCTTATCTCCGCTTCGCACCACTAGTCTGCTATATTCTGCGCCAACTAATGCTCGACTCTACTACATTATTACCTTTATTTTTACCGGCCTTCTACTTCTTCGTATGTTAGTCTTCTAATAGTTTCTGTCTTTGTCCTGCATCATCACACCACATGCGCAACTGTCATTAACAAAGTATTGTAGCATCCTTGTATCTTGGAACTGTAATGGGAGAACTCGTCTGCAGACTACGTATCCGCTAGAATCTTCACCAGTTGTCGCAGCCTCCTTTCCGACCATCGTCCCGTCATTCTCGAATGTGGCTACAGTAAGATCTATTATTGCAGGTCCGACGTCCGCTAACCCTTGTCATCCACAGAAGAAGAGTCAGCATTGACCCTCGGCCATGCCTTTCTTCGCCATTGCAAGACGTGCGCGCAATCGAGCTTGCATGCGTAATTTGCCTTCCGCTGCAAGAGTATCCACGTTCCCAATGTCCCCGCTTTCAGAGGAAGCACGCGTGGCAGCCACAAGCTCCGACTTCCCGACCTCATGTCCGGGCTGGTGGCGCCTTTTCTCTTCTTCTAGTTTCTCCTGCAGTCGTTGCCGCAGACTTGCCACGTCCCTCGGACTCGCTGATGTCGACGGATTCACAAACTCCTGGAGCGGGTCAGAGCCGTCAACCTTGCCACTCGCCACGGAACGAGCCTCTTCCTGAACTTGACTGTGGGGTCAGGCTAGCTATCAGTATATAATAATATGGCGCAGACGTCAACAACTAACCCTGCACCCTGGTCGTTATCCGCCTTACCGGGAGCTTTATCAGCCTGTATATTTCCGGACGACGAACTTGATTTCGATTCCGTAATTCGAGCCAACAGAGAAGGAGCAGCCGCAGCCAGGCGGCCCTGAGCAGAAGAGGTTCCCATGGACGGGAGTTCCGCCAGATCCGCCGACTGAATCTGAGCGGCGTCTCCCGGTCGACGGGTTCGCCCGTTGAGATGAGCGTGCACAGAGTCCCGAAGGTTCAACCGCGGCCGAACGCGTCGTGGAGGATTTGGGCCACCGTCGATCCGCGCAGGAGACCCGCTGACCCCATGATCCTCTGTTCCGCTGGGTTGGTCGGTTGATTGTGTGCCTGTCACCGCTGGGTGCGAAGGTAGCGTGGAGCTTGCCGGAGTATCAGCCGCTGCCTCAGGTCCTCCCCGCAACGCTGTTCCATTGGCAGGAGCGGCCGCCTCGACCGTCGAATTATAGCGCAGATCTCCCTCCTTATCACTTTCAGTGATGTCGATGATATCCACCGTATTGGCCTTGGCTTTTCCCTTGTCCCTGCCAGCTACTGCTCCCACTATGGCAATTGCAAGTAAGCAGGATACAGGACGACTAAGCCTGTGAATAAACTCACCCATAACAACGTCATCCCGATTTATTGATTGGGTCCCGTGGTCTTCCTTGCGATCTTGAGGCCTCGGCTGAGGAGTATCACTCCGCGTCGGATTCTCGCTTGGCCTTCCGCGCTGTACATCCCTGTTACGCCGTGCACGGCCGGTCGACTGATTCACTACATCGCTGGAGCGTTCCCCGTACGACCGCTTTCTTCCTGCCGAAGACCTGGACGCCGACCCATCATGAGGCGACTCACTGACATATTCGGACTGTCCGCGACGGGATTCACGACGCGTGAATGGGCCAGGCTGTGGGGACGGGGATCTGGAGACGGAGGGACGCCAGCGGCTGCTACGGGGCGGGTCTTCATGTGGAGGTTGAGGGATGTCTTCTGGCGTATCATACTGCGGGCGTGAAAGACAGTGAGGGCGGGCCGTAACCCGCGGCTTAAAAAGTCTTACCTGCACCACGGAGTCGTATACTGAGAGATCGCGGTAAGGAGAGCGTAGATATGAGTAAACCTCTGTATTAAATTGCGCAACAACGTATATAAGCCTGATTGTAGATACGGTAGAGCATACAGACTAAACTCACCATGGGCGAAGTGTTCAGCATTTTTGTAGCGGCCACCCTGGACGTATGGCTGGTCCATGTCAAGAAATTCGGCCAAGAGTTTGATAGCGGATTCGGAGCGTATATCGATGGATTTCATCAATGACAAGATGAACGTTGTGAGGAACTAGGTGCATTTGAATCATGTATACGGTATTAGGAACATGATATATAGCACTTCCGCAAGGCTATCACTAGCTGTGGATAGGACGCACCTCTACATCCAGACTGGGCCAGACTCTTAGCTCCCTCCGCACAAAAATGGCCGCACGACTCTGTAGGTCTGCAGAGGCAGAGAATTGGGCGGGAGTAGGATGGGGACGGTAGCGTGTGTAAGGGTTGGAGGCAACATGCTTGCGGGGGGTTGGGGGTTACATTGTGGGAAGACGCACAACACTACCCATAGATTACACTCACTTTGGCATAGAGATCGTGCTCGTAGATCCACCGTCGTTTACTTATGGCTCTTTCCAGGGCATCGGCTTCCTCCCTTTCCCTCCGCCGCCTCCTGCCCCATTCACGCTCCATCCTAACAGTCCTGCGGACAGCCGCTGACTGTTCGGACGAGAGCCGTCGTAATGGAGCAGGAGAGGCCGATCGTAACGGCGGCAAGAAATGCTTCTGATAATCATACTTCGACCGGATTTTGTGTATCACATAGTCCCCTACAGGTTGCTGGCAGAGTGGGCATCGCCTGGATTGCTCGGCCCATACAAGGAGACATTCGAAGCAGAATTCATGGGAACAAGTTGGTATGACGGTACGGTCTTCAAGCCTTTGTAAGCATATACTGCACTGCTCTCCTTCAGCATCGCCCTCGTCGCTGACAACATGGCTCGAAGGGGGTCGAGGAATTTCTTCTACAGAAGGGGAACGAGAATCATCCAGTCTAACGCGTTTCGAGGATTGCATAGACTTGCCAGATACCAAGCTTTCTCCTGACGTCTATGGCAGTGGTCTTCTGGAACACAGGCTGCGTTGCGTACCGTCCGAAACGTTGTTGAAGGACGAAAGACGCGATTGTGGCCAGTGGCTGTGTGAGTAATGTGAGAAAGTCGACGGACGGCGCATCATACTAAGTACTGAACACGTCGGAAGCTTGATTAGTACTTCAGCACGTTTTGCGTCCTTGTTCACTGTCAGCGTTCTTGCTTTGCGGTGCTCGCTCTCAACCTGGTCGGCTTCAGTCGGATCTGCAGTCGTGTACGACATAGATGTTCTTCTAGCTCGGAAGCTGTTCGTGAATAAACCTGTAATTTCGTGGCTGCTACTTCGTAGAGTGGAAGATGAGCTCGCTCGCATTCCTGGTGACTGAGCTTCAGGTAGGCGTGGATTCTATGCGAGGATGGCAAGCATAATTCATATGGCAATAGTCGTTGGCGAGCGAGACGAAACGCAAGCATCCCGATGTCCGCGAGGTGTCTGTCGCAGTGTTCTACTTACAGCGTCCTATGGCTAAGGAGTGAATTCAGGCTGCTGAGAAGTCACTGGCTATCTTGCGTTCGTCACCTGAACAGGCTACGGCAAACTTAGCCTCTGGTGCGTGGTCGCAACCTATGCAGGACGGCTGCCATGTTTGACTGAAGGAGTATTATCATAGATGGGCCGCAGTCCGATGATTTACTGAAACCGGTGTTTATGGGATGTGCTACAAGGAATGCGAAAGTCGTCGCCATTTCCTTGGGCTCACTAACCCGGCTTATCACTCTTAAAGCGGTTCCTATGTCCGCAGTTCCGGGGATTATCAATACTATGAACGACTGCATGAGTCAAGGAGTCGACATTCAGCTACGGATTCTGCAGACGCTGACTTCGCTTATCACCAACTATCCTGCTGTTCATGGCCCTTTACTAGGAGATGTGCGTACTGTGGCCTTGGTCGTTCATGCTCGTAAATGACTGCCCAAAACAGGCTCTGTTATCATGTTTCAAGTTGCAGGAATCGAGGATAGCAGTAGTCTCATCTACGGCGGCTGCGACGTTGCGTCAACTCGTAATGTTCGTGGTGGACAAAGTCGTCGATGAGGACAACCAGGAGGAGCTGGATCATAAATTGTTGGAAGAAATTACTCTACCTGACGGCTCCAACAAGTTGTTACGTCCTTCAGCCAGAGATGCGTTCGCCGTCTTCGAAGACCTCTGTCTCCTAGCCAATGCCGAGAAACCTCACTTCCTGAGGCTTGACCATCTCCACAAGACGTTGGCACTGGAGCTTATAGAGAGCGTACTCGCCAACTACCATGACTTATTTCGCAAGGTATCCTCGTATTATATCCCCATATGGATGCCTCGCTGAACTCTGCCTAGCACGTAGAACTGCAACTTCTACTTCAACATCACCTGTGTCCCCTCTTACTAAAGGCTCTTTCCGATCGTCCAGCGTTCCCGCTGACGTTACGCTGCACTAGGGTTGTATTCCTTCTGCTCAAGCAGTTCTCTTTGGAGTTGAAGACGGAGACGGAGGTGTTCCTCATGCTTCTGATCAAAATTGTCGGAGGAGATCCGGACCCCAGCGTACCCTCTGACTCTGCAGCACCGAGACCACAGTGGATGCGTGTTCTTGCGATGGAAATAATGCGAGGGTTAGTCGGACACACTCTCTTCTGAACTGTGCTGATGCTGTCGCCGTCGGTCTCAAGACTATGCAGCGATTCCGAACTGATGCGAAATGTCTACGATCGCTATGATTCCAACCAGCCGGGGTCGAAGGTCTTCTATTCTCTGATCACAGCCCTGAACCGGCTGGTGACTGAGAAACCTGCGCTGTTAGGAGTAGGATCCCAGATGCAGGGCGTCGGAGTCGCGCAAGGAAACATCGGTGAGAGTCCTTCCTCGTATGACGTCGGCGGCGTCGCCGGTATGGTAGCTACAGCCGCAAGCGCGACTATGTCGGGTATGGTCGGCATGATGGGGCAGGAGGCGGGGTTGAGTATCCAAGGATCAGCTATGAAGCTGCAGTGGTGAGTCCCCCGCAGGGTGTCGATGATGATGATCTCGAGCAGGCTTGCAATGTCGGAAATAGCATAGATCAGCTCGACAAGGCGGACGCACCCGCGATCCCAGAAGCGTATATCTATCTGCTAGCCGTCCAGTGCATCGTATCGCTATGCGAGGGCTTTGTCACATTTGCGGCGCCGGTCTACAACTCGATCATGGTCCAGAAACCACGAGCAGCTGGCGAGTCAGTAATCAGGGCCCCGCGCGCTTTGGACCTGGACACCCTCCCAGCTGAGGACTCAGTCGCGAAGCAGCTTCGGCTTGTGCGTGCTATGGTGCAGGATGGCTGGCCCGCTCTCCTGGCTGCCTTGTCGTTCATCATCTCGACTAATCTGTCGGACGAGCTTTTCGTGGAGGTCCTGGCGAGCTATCAAGCCGTGACGAACGTCTCCGGTATGTTCGGGCTCACTACTCCTCGGGATGCATTCCTGAACAGCCTCGCGAAATTCGCCGTACCGTCGCGTGTTGTGTCGAGCCTCGAGTCTTACGTCGAACCTGCGACACCTAGGACGGCGGCTTCCTTGACGGACGGCCTTGGGCTGACGGCACCTACTCAGCCTCCTGGATTGTCCGAGCGCAACATGGCATGCCTCAAAATCTTTATCACTAGTGCATTATTCCTAGCTGGTAGCCTCGGGGAAGGCTGGTCCATAGTGCTAGAGGCGTTGCAGAACGCGGACTATGTGTTGACCTTCAAAGGAACGAAGTCTACGGCCGGGAGACGCATTGCTTCGGGTACGGGAGCGCCGCCTTTGCGCGCAGTCGCATCCTCTGGCGCAATCCCGAGCGCTGGCGGCAGTGTGAACCAGCAGCCTAATCGACATCCCCTACTCTCCGATTTGGATGCAGATAGTGTCTTAAGCGCTATCCAGCGTTTGTTTGATGCCTCGAAGAATCTGGACGATCTTGCGTTCCAAGACTTCGTGTCCGCACTATGTAAACTCAGCTCTGAGATGGTCGGTATGCAGACGGAGGTTGTCAGTATTCTGACAGAGACAGAGGACTCTCAGACACTCCAAGTCAGCCCGCCGTCTGATGCTGCTCATCGCAGGAGAGTGAGCGGAATCCATTTGCCGCGGACCCTGGTACGTGATGGATGTTCACATCTTAGACTCTTACCATAGATCATCGAACTGTTTCCTAGCGATCGGGTGACTTTGGTATCACCAAACTCGGCGGTGTTGCCCTTCTAAACATTCACCGTTTGATATACCGCTCTCTGGAGGTTGCTTGGGATTCTATCACTAGCCACCTCTTGTTCGTGTTGCGGCACCCGTCGGCGCCATCCGCCATCCGTATTCAAGCAGCGCGTACACTGGACGATATCCTTATCGTTATCCCAAGGAACCTGACCACGCCGGGAGACCTACAAGCTCAGGTCCAGCGCAGAGTTATTGATGTCTTGTCTAGACAGGTTATCCCAGATTCCGCTGAGGGATTTGTTTCCAGCAGTGCAAGTGCCGAAATACGTAGGATGGGATTGGAGACGTTGCATCAAATCCTTTTAGCGTCGGGTCATACATTGGTGGTAGGATGGGAGACTATCTTTGAGATGTTGGCTAGCGTATGCAGGCCTGTCTCCTCGTTAGTATCCTCCGATGACGCTTCGTCTTCGGCGTCTTCGCCCGGTACACTTCGTGCGAAGCCTCCCCCTCTGGGTTATGTCAGCGAAAAGAGCTACACTGCAAACGTCAAGATCGCCTTTTCCTCGCTGACTCTGGTCTGTGACTCACTTTCTCTTCTGTCCCCTGAACACCTGCGCCTGTGCATCAGCACCCTCGGGCAGTTTGGGCGTCAAGCTGACACGAATATCGCCTTGACCGCGGCGGAGAGCTTACTCTGGGGCGTCTCCGACTCCATCCAGGCTAAGCGTAAGGACGCGGAGCAGGAGCCTATCTACAGTTCTCTGTGGATGTTCTTGCTCCTGGAGGTCTTGGGGCTCTGTACAGATGCTCGGCAAGAAGTACGGGTGGGAGCCATTCAAACACTGTTCCGTTCATTGCAGCTGTACGGTGCGACGCTCAGCTTAGAAACGTGGGAGGAATGCATCTGGAAGGTCACATTCCCTCTTCTTGATTCCATTACGACGGCTATGAGGCAAACTGCTGTTTCGGGGACGCCGGGTTTGCCAGCTTCCTCTGTTAATCCGGGACAAGCATGGAACGAGTCTAAGATCTTGGCGCTGCAGTCTATAGGCTCGATATTCAGCGAGTTCTTAACGGCAAAGGTTATGCGACTTGAATCATTCAGCAAACTATGGGATATCTTCGTAAACCATATCCAGGACGCCGTATTATTCGACCATCGAACTATCAGTGCGCCTGCTCTTCGCTCGCTTGAGAAGGCGGTTGTAGCTTCCAGAGAAGCTGAAACCGAGCTCAGGCCAAAGGTATCAGAGGCTTGGAACCGAGTGTGGCAAGCTTGCACTGAGATCGGAAGTACTGTACTCCGAAGGAGTGGTCCACAGATTGAAGGGAGCGGCTTGAAGCCCTTCACTCAGGAAAGCTTGGTAGCTTTCGTCAACGTGATCCGAAGTACCCGCTCAGTCAGTCGACATCTCGATTCTGTGGAATGGCCCCTGGATCGCTTATCCCGTTTGGCAGCGATTCTGAAAGGCAGGTTTGCTTAAGACCTCTTTTCGTCACCTGAATACTAACTCTGCGGACCAGGTGTTCTGACGTATCAGAATTCTCCTGATTATCGGCCTGATATTGATGCACTTACCCCGGTTCAGGTGAGCTTGTCGATTTCCCCCAGACCTCCTCTCTGATCTGTTCGTTTGTGTAGACGGTCGTTATAGACACTATCTCCGACGTTGACCTAGGCGCGAGTGGCGTGCCATCTTTAGTGCTGAAGGACTTGTCGGAGTATATCACCCTCCCCTTCGTCGCCGCCTTCGACGTACCTGTCGAGCCTTCAACTGCCGAATCATCACAAACTGCCAGTAAACCTAGGAAACGGATTACATACATTGGGCTGTGCAAGAAATGCATGCCGATGCTTGTGGACCTATTCCTTCAGTTCAAGGACAACGCGGACATATATACAGATGGAACGTTGGAAGTCGTAATTTCTGTGAGCGATGCGTAATTTTGATTTCGGTCTAAATGCTGACTGTTATTCAGGCGTACTCGATTCCTATCAAGATGAAGTACGAGTGCCCAGCTCCATCCAAGTACGGAAAAGATCTACCGCTATGGAAGACTGCCACCACGAGCTTCCTACGGATTGTCAAAGACTGCGGGCCGCAGATCGAGTCCATGGGTTCTGGTGAGCTGCGCAGGATTGCTTGCATCTGAAGTTTTGCTGAGCCTGACGCTCCTAGAAATACCCGACGATCGTGTGGAAGGTATATGGCGCCAAGTTATCGATGTCTTCCGTGGTGCCATTCTGGCTGACTGGTACGATGCTGTTCTAGTACGGGCACACGAGCCTGCTGACGATGTCCCGCGCGTTCTCGATGCAGTTCGGAGACTGAAACGATGCCACTCGAAATGCAGGAAGCGGAAGAGAATTTCGATCTGGCGCTCTTATCGTCCCTGGAGATCGACGTCGTGCCGCACCTAGGCGACACCCGCGTCCCCGACCACCTCATTGCGCATCTCGCGAAGGTGCTCCACCAGGGGAGCAAACTATTGGACTTCAGCGAGTCTCATTACGTGCAGACGCCTCCCCCCTCCCCTCCACATGGAAAGAAATCCAACAAGGCAGCGGAGAAGGATAGGGTGTACGACGTCGGGACCACCGAGCGCGGGCGCGAGTACCCGCGGGAGAGGTTCTCGTACTGGTGCTTTGACTTGCTGTTCTTGCTCGCTTCGGATGTGTCTTCTGGTACGTCTCCTTTTTACTGTGCAGAAGCGCCAGCCACATGGTGGTCACTAGATCAGGAATCATCACGGCGGCGTGTAGCCGCGCTCAGTCTTTCAGCGCTGCTGAGCCGGTGCAGGATGACGCTGGTCAGCTACATCGCAGATGAGGCGCTGAGAGGAAACATGCCCTTCCCCAGGTGAGCTGACAAGTCCCGATCCGACGTTAGGCTTAAGTCAACCGTGCGTGCGATAGGGTGCGCGAGGAAGAGCTGATCTACGTGCTCCGCAAGCTCCTTGAGATGAAGCTGTGGCCCGGGGTGCTCTGGGCGGCCTTCTCGGACGCGCCTTCCAAGTATTGCGTCGAACAACCGCGTACGTGTATTCAATATCTGGGATAAACTGCCGATAATGATAAATCATTCTCATCGAAACCCAGCCGTGCCCGCGGACGCCAGCCCATCCGAGCTCATCTCAGACTCGATCAAACGGTCCTCGAAGGCGCACCTGTTCCACTTCTACGACGTGCTGTGCGAGATTGCCGCCATCCCGAGGAAGACGCCCACTGCGTGGGTGACCACTTCGAAGTCTGGAGGAGCAGACGGGGTTGAGAGTGAAAAGGAGGCGGTGAGGGAATTCGACGCGAGGGGACTCGCAAGGGAATGCTTAAGGGAGATTGGGAAGGAGATGGGGGTCGGTCGGTAGGTACCCCTCATACGAAGCTTGGGCTTGGGTATTGGTATTTTAGATGTACAGGACTTGACGCACTGATGATACACTATATACATAACGATACATTGTGGACTTACAAACTCTATACTGTACTTACAACCATCCGCCCTCCATGCTACTTCCTAGCATTCGCCTCCGCCATCAACCGCACCGCGTTCGGAACGTCGCCCACATCCTCCTCGTTCGCGCCCAGCAGCTGCAGCATGTCGTTCTTGCCAAACATCTTCGCCGTCTCGATCGCGCTGGGCTTGCCCAGCCGCGGATCGGCGCCGGCGTCGAGGAGGATCTTCGCGATCTCGTCGTGCCCCTTGAAGATGACGCCGGCGAGCGGGGACTGGAGGTTGTCGTTCAGCCGGTTGGGGTCGGCGCCCGCGCTGATCAGGCCGCGGACGGTGGCGGCGTGGCCTGCGTAGGCGGCGAGCATGAGGAGGGTGTTGCCTACCGGACGTCAGACGTGCCAGGCTGGAGAGCAGGACGGATACCTACCTTTCTCGTTCGTCAGGTTCGCGGGCAGCCCGCGCTGAGTGGCTTGGACGAGGAGCTCGGTGTTTCCTTCCCGGGCAGCGTCGAACATCCGGGCCGCGAAAGCGAGCGTTTCCGGGGGGAGGTCATTGACGCTCGGCGGGGCCGGGGTCGTCTGCGGCTGCACATCCACGCCGTCTGCCTGGATGCATGGGCCGCCCGTCGGTGATACGGAGATAGAGGTTCCTGGGCTTACATACCATGTTTGCCGCGAGATTAGGTTGAAGCTCGGGTGATTGAGAGGGCGCAGGGCGAGTGCTGTTGCTATACGGCCTGAGAGCGACGTGCAGGGATGGGTGAGAGGATAAAGGCAGGGCTGAGATCCCGGGTGATCTCAGCGAGACCAGCTGACTCTTCGATTTCCCAGCTGCTCCGAGCGTGCGGGCGATCATGCGTGCGTATCCAGCAGCCGCGGTCGACCTTGGCGCGTAGATTTTGTAGTTGCCAGGACGTTTAAGATAGCACGTCCGAAGTCTGCCTCCGAGTCTCGAGTATGAATAGCTGGGCCGGCTTTTGGAGCCCAAGTCGCTCGTGGGAGGGTTCAGACAATAAAAAGTGCGATTGCGGAAAGGAAGGGCAGTCGAGACGGTCAACATCATTCACGGCGGTTTCCAGATTGAAGGTGCGCTCGGGGTGCCTACGAAGTGGTAGCAGTCTGGTGTAGGCTTAGTTTGCAGCAAGTTGGCGTGAAGCTAACGGTGTAGTGGTTAAAGTCGGCATAATTCCACCCCTATCTTCCCGAAGACAAGCAATATAGACTGAGTAAATGACGGGGAATGACTAGTGACTAGCAGGGGTCATGCATAGCGGTGGACAAGAACGGCCGATACTTGGCCGATACCGTCTCATGACGCCACACGCGTTTTCCGAATTCTCTTCAAGTTGCCACACCCTCATTCCATCTAGTTAGTCTGTTCGAAATCACAGGTGCAGCCGTTCGATACGGATTCTTGAAAGTCTTCATTTGATGATATGGAATGGGATAGTGGTGACCTTGGGTCTGATACCTAAACAATTCCGATGTGACACTCGCTTAACCCTTCCGCACTTTAGGATGTCGCAGCTGAAGCTTTGTTGTCGCTGACGAGGATCTATCTCAAATGTCAAAGGGATCCTAGACCATCCAATTTCCTGAAATTTTGATTTCGACCGAGATGTCCCCTCTCTGCTTCCACAGGTGCGACTTCTTGGTCCTGGTAGTGTCCCTGGGGCATCAAGCTGATCGGTCAATTTAATCATGTCGCTCCTTCCTGACTCCCTCTGTCCTTCAGGCCTCAGGTGGTCTCCATGTGACAGTACAGCAGGAAGCTCGATGCTCTAGGATCGAACATATGACTTCAAGAAGCTTTGTCGTTCTACTTCGGCCATGAAGGTACATGCTAGTATGCGCGACGCGCTTGGGCTTCGGCGTCCAGCCAGAATTCATCGGTCAAGCATCCGCGCACCCTTGTCTACAGCCCTGGGCATCGTTCATCGCTCCGTGCTAGCTGCCTTTGTCCTAACCGAGCTCCTACAAATACAGCCCTCCTTTGTGCCCATATCACCTTGTTTCATCCCGTAAATGACCCCGCGCGTTGCGCTGATTGCTATGAGCTGTGTACAGAAGTGGCACCGCTCTATCGCTATTGTTGTAGATCCCTCGACGCGGCGTATCCTACGCCCATGCTCTCCGTACTAAGGGATCCTTGTAGATCACGATCGCCACCGGGAGGTATGCACTCCGGTTCAATAATCATGGGATAGCTCAGCGCACCGTATTCAGTCTTTAGTATTTCTCTAGTATCACGACGGGACGATCGAGCATCACCCATTCAAGCATCGCTACCCGCGAGAGTCCTGTGTTTCACGGCGTTCGCGGGCGTCCATTCGTGGCGTCCTCGATCATGTAGTCGCCCACAAATGACCGTGGCGCGATGGAGAAAGAGTCTGCAATGCGTTGCCACATCCTCCCGAAAAGCATATAAGGCCCTTGTCCGTGGGGGACTGATAGTACATAATTCAAGATGTGTTTCCAGGAATTGTGAGCATCCAGGTTTCTCAGTCTGCGCTCTCGTGACTCACGAACGGACGTCTGAAATGGAGGCAATACAAGGTTTACTCGCGCGACGTATGGTGTCATCCGGGGACGTTTTGCTACAGGCGTGCTGTACATGCCAGCGCCGTGATCAGTTTCCCCTTCCCTTCCCTGTCCGCCGTGTCCAGCAATGCCGTGGCGTGGAGTCTCTACCCTCAGGAGCGGGCGCTGGTAATGGGTCACGCTGAGGTATACACTTGTACAGAGATGTAAGTGAGCTTCCTTATGTAGGCAAATCCCAACCACCCTGATATTCGTTACCGTCAGGATATCGTTCTGGTACCAGTGGAAGTGAGTAACGGGCTCTGTCACGACTCATCGCTATCAAGCAAGGATAAGGACGTAATGGAACGGACACTCGGTCCACTATCGTCTAGAACATAACGCTATTTGCTCGCCACACTGCGGCTGTTTTGTCGCGGTCCAACGTGCACACATGTCTTAATTCTTCCGAGCTCAGTCCTTTCAAGTTTTTTCTGAATGAAGCATGGAACATGATAAATACACTCTTTACGCCGGAAATGGGATGCGTCCATATACTCCCTGTACTTTTATTGATGCTGTGTCTATGCTCTCGTATAACATGCCGTGATCCGCCTTGCGTCCAAGTTCGTGTGAATCGTGCAGTGATGCTCGTACGCGTCTCAAGACGCGCCATGTCACGCGTGACAATTCGCGTCAGCCAATCACCCTCAGGCTCGGCGGAAGTCCAAGTTTAAGTTGCTCTGCTTCTGAATCCTTGAGCCACGAACCCTCATCGAATGCCTGAGCTTCACGCGGCGGGAAACTATGTGTCTTTGTATGCGCCTAAGTGGATCTCTACCGGAGTTGGTGATATACCCCCAGGCTTCGTCGAGCAACTTACAAGGGAATCACAATGCAGGTTAACTTCAATTTGGGTATGACTGGGCGGCCATATTTCTGCTAGTGGGTGAGTCTGCGCTTCCATTCTGCATTCACCTTTCTATGACTGTGGACTGGGCGGTAGCTATGGTCCAGCTGCCTCTGACTTTCACCGTCCCGAGAACCTGGATAGCACTTGCACCCTTCTGGCACCGGACCCGTGCTGTCCTTCAAACCCAGCCTCGTATCAAGCCTACTGGACGGGAACCAGCCTGCTTCGACCAATGTTTGCATCAAGAACTCGTCAAAGCGGAATATCGTAGTATTCTGCGCCCTGATACGCCGCCACCGTGACAAGTAAACGTCCCTGGCGTTCCAATATAATGCGCCTTCCGGAAGATCTTGTATATTTTGGGGTGCCTCCGTTTTAACAGCCGCCTGTTTTGACTTGCTCATATTCCCTGTGCGGTCCCTACTGCGGCGGCGAAGTTGCCTCGTTTCCTTCCCCTAAGCGATCTAGGCACCACTATGCTTCTCTCCGAGTCGTATACTCCTAGCACCCAGAGTGGCCCTGATCTATCGCTTGTGCTAGAGACTCAGGACGCTACCACCTCTATTGTCGACCCGGTCGTATTTGGGAATTCCTATAGGACTCCGGGTAGATCTCGAGCGCCACCGGACGATCTGCAGTCGATTTCTGGCAGTGCAGAGCTATCCGAAACGTCTCTCCTGAAATGACGCCACAAAGTTTCCGTTTCTGCCAGCTGCAGAGCATAGCTTCGGCCTTCCCATCTGCGGGAGAACGCGCGGGTATGTCCTAGCATCTCCGATGGCGCTTGTGGCGTCAAGCCGCTGAGGATTCATACCTCGTGTTCGTTGAGGGTCTGTGTTTGATTGGATGCCACATTTGCTCTGAAAGGTATAAAAACCAGGGGACATGCAGGCGAAATGACATTCAGAACAATCACCACTCGACTCGTCCTGCAACATTCCCAACATGTGCGTTGAATACAAGTGAGTCTCCGCGACGCTCTTACGGCCTGTAGCATGTCTACCGTACTGATGACGTCCCCAGAACAGTCACATTGCGCTCCTGCGGGGTACGACTTGATGTAGCATATGCGATGCCTTCAGTTCGCTGATCCTTCTACGCTAGCATCACGACGTCAAAGTCGACTTCCAGGAGTGCAATTCAGAGACCTGTCCATCTCTTGCTCGGAGGAAAGGAAGAACGGTTAGATACCAGCATTCGCGTGGCCTGGCCCCGGACGTGAGTGGCTTTCCCACTTTCTTCGGCTCTGATTTTCGACGCTACCTTGAACAGGGGGATGGTGTCAGGCGCGTAAGACTCGGAGATCCTGTTACGGTCTACGGGCTTTGCGACAATTGCAAGCGCAATTAGAAATCGCCGCTAGCACGCCGTCGCCGAAACCAGCGCCATGCTATGTCGAAGCATTGTCGATCTTGCAGCCTATGATTTCACTCTTTCCTCCCTCTGTCGAAAGCCAAAAAATGGACCAAAAAAATGGAAAAAGTTACAAAAATGTCAAAAAGAAAATACGTAGATGAGTTCGTTCTGTCCGATATTCATATGCTGTCACTGTATGCTTGCTTTTTTGAACGGCACGTACATATACACGCCGCTGTAGTGTGCTGTCACCCCATGCCTATCCCCTCTTGTAATATATATCTGTGTTTATGTAGTATGTGAAAATATGCCAAACTTCTATGCGAAATACTGGTACTTAGGTATCATGATCCTGAGGTCAACAGCTGGCCAATGGCAACACGGTCGCGCGTCATGTCACGTGTATGCGTGACCCTACGCGTCGAGCAACATCAACATCAGCTCTTTCAAATTTGCAGGCTCTTCCGCTCAGGCTTTGCGGCGACATCGATACGATTCTTGACAACGCACCCTTTGCGATTATAAAAGTCAAAAAGTCACGAGATGCATTGGACGCCATAAATGATGGCTTCAGTGTTTTTGGGAGCCATCGCCACGGGATAGTACAAAACGTGATCGCAGTACAGAATTACAACCGCCCAGAATGCAATCGGGCCTTCCAGATATACCACTCTGAAATGTCAGGGGGAAGGTTCTTGCCTATGGTTGCGGTGTTTATATACGGGAAAAGACGATACAGAGTACTCGCGATAGCCTCTGCATCATCTCTAACGTATTTCAGGCCGCGAAGGGAAAGGCTCACTAGGCAACAGGCACTCTTGACGGGCCCAAGGTCCGCCTGAAGGAAGTCCCTGGCCACTCGCATGCCGGGGAGTTCCAGTTCACGAATGTGAGGAATCAACTTGGCGCAAGTGATAAGACTCTGAAGCGTCGTTCCAGGCTCGACTACGTCGAATTCAAGTAATAATTGTTCCAGCTTGGGCCATGCGGACACCATGCGCTCGATGTCTTCGTCTAGGAGCCTGAAGGGCGTAAATACGATTTCTGGACTATGAGCTAACCGAAGCCGAACGTGGTCCAAACAAGGTAGGTGGATCAGTGGCTCGATGACCGCAAAGATGCTTATTCCATCTGGAGATGATTCGCAGTCGAAGTTCGTGTCCCAGAAATCAAGTTTGATAGTAGTGATGGATCTTGCGAACCTTTGCAAGGATTGGAAGAGTAGCTGCACATGCTCGATCTCCACCGACTCGTTCACGAGGCGCAGTGAGAATTTTCTCATCTTGCTGGAGGAGACCCTTCTCAGAAGCTCGAGGGCCGTCAACGGCTGGGTGTATTCTGCTTCAAAATCCTCTAGGGCATGCAAAATGCACCTAGTGCCTGCGACATCCTCGGGATGCATCTCCAATCCTGAAATCCTCAAGGTCGTGAGGGTGGAGAGGGAGGATAGCGTGTCCAAAAACGGTGCGTTCAAGAATCCTCCCGCCCGTAACGGAATATCGCTGAAGTCGAGGGTCCGCAGCAACCTGAACTTTGAAAGAAATTCAAGTGAGACATTGGTAAGCGGCCCCCCGAGTCGCAGGATCTTGAGATGCGGGGCCCTTTCCGGAAGTGCCGCAAAGAACTCGCCTAGGGCATCGTCGCGCATTGTAAGCAGCGCCTGGTCGAGATCGCCGTGGTCGTCGCCCTTGCTGCAGGTCGTGAATGCTATTTCTCGCAGGGACGGAGTGACGATGGCCGAAAGAACGGGGCCGAGCCGCGGGTCCATATCCAGGTTGCAATACCAATGCCCCCACTCAAGTCCCATCAGCGCCGGCAGGATCGGACGCGGGCTCGAAGAAACGAGGTTGATGATAGCATCAAAGTCAACCTTACCGTCTGCGCCGGAGACCCGCAAGCGGCGCACGCGTCTGCTGTATCTATCGAACCGGCTCCAGTGCATCTGGTAAACCTGGTAATCCGGGATCTATGGGAGGGGCATTGACCACGCGTTCCATGTACAGTGCGTGCTGCTGCTTACATTGTAGTACGTCTGTCCCAGCCGCAACAGCCCCGGTGGCAGAAGCGCGAGGAGCGGCGCAAGGCTGTGCATGTTCTCCCATAACGCGTCGAGGGCAGGCCCGGACCAATATTTGCAGGCGAGTGCCAGGTTGACGTGACTGAGTGTTCCCGCTGGTAGTCCGCTCGCAGTAGGCCTTCGCAGTTCGTTGCAGATGATGCGACACAGCTCGAGGGGAATGTGCGCAGCGTGGCTCGGCATCCTGGAGTCGCGAGCGCTGAGGGTGGGTGCTCGTATGCGGGCGGGACGGTGAGCGGATGAACGTGCCACTCGGCGGCAATACATGGCACCCTTTACACAAAGGGCACAATGGCAGGATCCCAGAATGCACTGAGCCACTGGCCCGGGAGAACCCACACATATCGTACGTTTCCGCTGCCTTGTGCGACGTGTTCACCGGATGAAATCCGAGGCATCGCATCACACAATGACATACCCGATTTGGCAAAGACATTTCCACATATAGCAATACCTGAGTGTATGGAATCGACGGCCGGGACTCTCATCCAGAGCAGTGACGGACCGGGAATTTACAGTAAAATCATCGCCAGCATGTCCGTTGCCTCGGAGCCGCGGCCGATACATATTATGCCACCAGTGCTTTCGCGAGGGCCTTCCAGACACACCGCGCCGCTCAAGCAGACGCACCGCGAGACGTCGGGAAGAACGGCGCAGGCGTACCCAGCAGGCGTACATACCGAGGCAGGTACTACCACGTGAGCATCCCCTGTCAAGGGGAAGAGGCGTCCAGGAAGTGACTCTCTCGCAGGAGAACGAAGGCAGCTGCAAGTAGAATATATAGCGTGATGAGGAGACCCCTGCGGAGTGACGCGCCTCCCCCGGAATCTCGCGTCATCGCCGTGCTCTGTCAGAGTTCTCCCTTGACACTGACAGCCGTCGACAGCTATTCGAACCAGTCGTCCCAACGGGAGGGGTAGCCGACAAGTAGCGGAGCCGCGAGAGCGCGATGGCTGCCATCACCAAGATAGACGAATGTATAAGAAAAATGCATGCGCGCCATAAGCTACCGTCTAATTCTCGGACGAGCCTGTATATATGTGTTATGCTACAGATGCTAGGATTTGCATAGCCGTGCTCTCGGGTCCGATATTCAACTCCGATTAGCGTTGTGTGTTGTCTCGTGCGTGTGGAGGCGGGCATGCGCGCGCTCGCTATCCATACTCCATACTCAATACTTCCCATTCACCCGATCCCACCGCGCCATGCACGAGTACCCGTCATAATCTACACCCCCCCCCCACACACACACACACC